CTGTGAAGGTCAACAGATTATGTGTCCAAAACTTTGCTTCACAATTTTATAATCAATATCAAGAGCATTCAAGTTTCATTTACCTTTCTCAAGATCCAAAAATCCCTCTTTGTCTTTGGATAAAATGGAATCAATTTCTTCCATTCCACCTGTGAATGTGTTCAAAAAATTTTGATGCAAAAATTTTGTAATATGATGAAATCTGGAACAGTTGCATTAATATGTACAAGAAAATAAACGTAATCATCTGACTGATTTCTAGTAAATAAATTTACCGGGCAGGAAGGGGAAGTTGGCACTGCTCCCTCTAACATCTTGACTGGCAGGGCCCAGGGGTCTCCTCAAAGATAGGGAGGTCCTACCCTCTGAGGTGCTCTCCAAGAATTCCTAAATGGGAAAATTGTCTTTTTATATCCCATTTTGGTGCTAAATTATGACCATAAAGTTTCTCTTTTTTCTAATATAAGAAAAAAAAAATTCAACGGACAAAATTTCCAAAGAGGTTATACAGACACAACACAAATTTACAAGCCCCCACATTTTCTACAACTTTAAAATTTGATTTCTATCATAACTACATGTACATGTGTTATATTATATTTTGTGTGTGCCACACCTCCTTGTAGCCTAGTAGTTCCCCTGTGGTGGGGTTCCTGTCCACCTGTATGGTGGTCTGTACCCCCGACACTTCAGCATGATAGAGATTCTCAGGACAAGGCTCTCTGGACCAAAACCTAAACAATATATACAATTATTGACTTGTGTAGAGGTAAATACAGTCATATAGCTGCTAATTTGCTAAAGAAAGATAATCTCAGCTGAAGGGTGCAATTTTTCTCTGAGACAATCTATAGGATAATGAATGATTGTATTAATCAAATGAGATTTGTAATTGTTTCATGAAATAAACTTAACGACACTTGCATCATACACTGTAAATGAACACAAAATTTATAAACATGATAAAGTACCTTTCCCAGTTCCCACTGATAATTTTCTAAGATATTCTCAATTTAAAATCAGGGTATCATAAGATGTTCTTTAATACAAATATAATCAGCATTCATTTCCAGGAGTTTTGACCAGATAAAAAATGGTTCTGATGACGACCGTCACAGGTCGAAACCGGTCAACAAAATAAATTTACTGCTGCATTCTCACGAAGTGTTGGTGATCTGTTTTATACTTTTAAGTTAGATAAAAAATTATTAAAATTCTTGCACTTTTTGAAGATAAATTAACGTAAAAATGAATTTAACATTCCTAGAAATTTGATTTAGAGGTGGCGCACATTATAGATATAAGACATCATAAACATGATAAAACCACATTAACGCCTTTTAGGTTATTGGAATTTATTAATTATTCAGGGAATAACAAATTAAAGATTTAATCTACATTCCAATTGTTCTTAATTGTTTTCAAGTGATTTTCTCTGAAAATAACAACATGAAATTGGGATAGTATTGCTGCAAATGTCGAACATTACGACACATAATTAGCTTCAAGATAAACTGACCTATCAATGGCAAGTGAGGGGAAATAAAATAAGATTTCCTACAGGAGGGGATTTCAACCAATCTTAGTTTAGAAAAATCTCCCATAATGTAATGACAAAACAATTAATATTGATGTTAATGAAACATCACACACTTAATATTTCAAAACTTTCATATATCACAATAATTAGCCCACATATAAATTATAAAATCATCATCAATTTTTATTTATTTCTAAGATGACATTTAATTGACATTATCTTGTAAGGAAATATCAAAAGCATATGAATACATGCATGTACTTGTCTTTAAACTATATATAGTCAAATAATGTCATTGGAAATCCTTGGTTGGTTATACTTCTCTTCTCTGAAGCATTATCAACCACACGTTTCCAATGATGGTAAAACAAATACTTCGCAGCACAGTTAAGCCAGGTTACAAAAACGGGGCGGACCCTAATTTTTACAGGAAAACTTAACTATGACATGATACAAAATATACGTCATGCAAAAATTCTTTAAAATACCACAAAATGAGGTGATTTGCTAATTTAACCTGCAGCACTTTTCAGAAACTACAATGTGTGTTGAAAATATTTATAAAGTAAACTTAGTATTTTAACTTGGTCATGCCCTTGCACTAGTGGGATTTATAGGTAACATCAATACTGCAAGTAAATGTGTTAAAATCACGTGACTGCCAAATCACGTGACAAGTCTAAATTTAAAATCTAGTCATCCTCAATATGTAGTTAATTTTATTAACCATAATCATAATTATCCGATATAAATAATGTACTAAAAATAATCGCCATCCTGATGATGAATACATTTTTAATTACAAAATATTGTCGATATTTCCATTGTGCACCTTAACTGTACTGCATTATGACGGTAAATCAATATTTTACTTTTGTGCCTTGGTAATATCATGGACTGGTACTTTCTCTACACAAGTTAAGTACTCCTCTAACTCTTCATCCCAGGAAGGTACAATTGGTGGTAAGCCAGCAGGAAGCTATACAAAGTCAAATAAGTATGTCAAACGTAAACTCAATAAGGTTGAACACATTTTGATTCATTATGCCTGGTGGCCAGAAAACTTAGATGAGCTCGCTTTTGATCCAAAGGATTTAATAGTGGAAAAGTGAGACCGAGATCAAAAGTGAGCTCATTTAAGTTTTATGCCCCCCAGGCCTGATGGTCTGCTTTAACTTATATTTACTGTACATTCACTTGCTCTGGTTATATGGAACTTTAAGACTATATCCTGGTCTATTGCCCATTTAGCAAAGGATACTCTGATCTTTCAAAAAAAAAATGGATGGGCAGATATATATTATTACATTTTACATTAATGTGTAGATTAATGCACTACTACCTTTTTTACATTTTAGATGATATATTACAAGGTACAAATGACATCAAAGATGTAGTCCAATTAATCTGCATGGAAATTAAAAACAATCCAATATTCAAATTACTTACTGTTTTTCTGGGCAGATCACCATCAGAGTTTCTTTTTAGGACTGGTATAAATTTTCCTTGACAACCGACTTCAGCCAGATCAAAATCCACTCCCAATCCTTCTATATCCATGGTGCTGCCTTACCAGACTAGCTAGGGCATGTTGTATGGAACAGCTGCTTACCTCTTCATCAAAAGTTGATATTACCACTAGGACCGTGACTCTACCTGTACAGTTAATGAAGAATCATGGAAATTATACACAATGTTAGATATCCAATAATTTCTAATTTGTCAGAAATATTGTTAACAGTTTTTAACAAAAGAACTTACTTGTATATGCAACGTTACAATATGCAGTAAAAGCAGGCTAAAGGTGTTGACTGAAATTTTTAAATTAATGTTATATGACCGATTAGCTAGGGGGCGTCAACACTGTGGCAAGAACCTAAAACCTTCAAATTTAAAATCCAATGGTCTACTGACTGTCAGAGCTAAGTGGTTAGCCCACTAGCTAGTGCTATTAGGAGTGTTACTATTTGCAAAGCATAGCCACTTTTAACTCAGTTACAAAAATGCAACAGACTAGACCGGAATTCAAACCTGGGCCCCCTGAGTGAATCTCCTGTCATGTGCTCCACAGACTGAGCTATCTGGTCCGGGTTAAATCCGGGTCTGGTCTGCTGCATTCTTCTTCTCTCCCATTTCATTTGGTGCCATGCCATGCCCTGGAACTGACAGGTGAGAGGCCTGCCAGGGATGAGTCTGGGTTGGGGGTCTTTGGGGGGCCAAGGACCTTTAAGGAGGGAGGAGTGTGGAGGTCAGCTGGGTTCGATCACCAGTGGCCAGATAGCTCAGTTAGTAGTAGGGTTGTATCAATATATCGATATATCGATACGTATCGACATTCAAGAAAAATATCGTATCGAAAAGTAACTTCCAATACGTATCAGACAGACATTTTTTCTTCAAATTCTGTTTAAAAGATGGGAATTACAATCACCAAGGATTATATTTTACTTTTTTGAGTTAAAACCTTCAATAATTATATGAATTCTAAGGAAATACCACAGTTTTTAAAATCATTACAAAGTACAAAGAGAAATTTATTTGAACATATTGATTTTACTGTCGTCAAAAGTTTTAATTGAAGTGTTATTTTTAAAGACAATGAGACAAGAACTTTAAAATGGTTAATAAAACACTTAATCGTTATGAAATGTATGCATTAAAATGATTTAGAAGCCTTTTTAGATGGACTTGTTTCAGAATCCAATATATCGCATATCGCTTTAACAAATATTGTATCGTATCGTATCGAAATTTTTAGCTCAATACACAGCCCTAGTTAGTAGAGCACCTGAGGGAGTTTCAGGGGGCCTGGGTTCGAGTATTCGTCTGGTCCACCACATTTTTTCTCTCCCATTACAGTTATAGGTAGAATGCAAAACGGCATTTGAGAGATAAATAGCTGCATGCGCTCGTAAACAGTTTCACCATCGGGCAGATTTCTCATTGATTTCCTGTGTATTCTGTTTGTGTATAGTCGCATTCATTAATTTAAAGCTCCAAATCTCACAAAATTGACAGATTTAGGTTAGGGCAGTGACGGAATGGGAGGGGGAGGGGGCCAATCCATCTCCTTCCTAAAAAAAAATTGAGTACCATCACAAAAACAAAAAAAACCCACCATATTGAGTTAGATATAGGCCATCAACATATGAATAAAAGACAGCATAATCGAGAGATTTTTTTAACAACAACAATTTTCAAATAAGATTGAAAAAGATTCACATTACTGAGGAAATTCGGATCAATATTTTCCTCGCGTTTTTCGCTCCCTTCCGCCCAGTTTATTTTGAAGAAATTGCATTCATCCTTCTAACTGAGTTAATTCCTATCAACATGTTTATTCTGTTTTTATACCAACAATACATTCTATAATCTTCTGCAAAACATTTTCAGTTTACTTACTTTCTCAGTTTCTGTTCTTTCGCTTTCAATTTTTTTCCCATCGGGATCGAAGTGCTGAGTCCTACTTTCTGTTTCAATCTAGGAAAACAGCATGCAGCATGACATGATGACTGCAAGTGTTACGAACAAGACCATTCTTGAGCCTCAGTTAAAATATCATGTGTTTTCTGATAAAATAATGGACAAAGTGTTTCATTTCCAAGTGTTAAGATTAAAAGACAGTTTCTTTATTTCGGTCTGTACTTCGAACAAGTTAGGAAATCTAGCAGTTGCAATGCAAACAAAATTTGTGAGTATATTTTAGGTTTCTGGGTTTATAAATGACTGTTTACAGAAATAAACGGGGTTGATTGCCCCTCAGACTAATCAATCCCATGTATATCTGTAGACACCTGTAACAATCCCTATGCATGTTATTTATTTTCATAAGTTTGAGAAAAGTCCATAGCAACACTTTTAATTTAACAGGTCCAGTCCAAAGACTATTTCTACCTAAGTAGCTATTAATAGCTACGTAGGTATTTAAACCTACCCAAAGTAGCTATTTTTACCTACTTTTTGTGTTATCTGCATTTTGTGGCCAAAAGACGTAACGGCCCAACATGGTGAATACCATATTTTTTCATACTGTCACACCAAAGGTGAATACTTATGACAAAAATTTGGCCAAAAAATGATTACTTCATGAATCAGCAATTTTACATTAGTTTCTAGTTGCGAAATTGATAATATACGAAGTAATCATTTTTTGGCCAAATTTTTGTCATATTCATCATCAGTGAGACTGTATCAAGAAATTTTGAGCTCAACATGTTGCGCCGTTCCTGCATTTGGCCACAAAATGCAAGTAAAGGAGAAAGCAGGTAAAAAAAGCTACTTTGGATATGTTTAAATACCTACGTAGCTATTAATAGCTAATTTGGACTGGACCTGTTTAAGAGGAAAGGGGAGCCACACCCCCAGAAAGTATCCTAACATCTCCACTATCTGTTGTCAATATCATACACTTCTTCTTATTTCTCATACTAAGTCAATCTCTTTAAAATTTTACCATTATGTATAATCTTGATGAATCCTGGAGATATCTAAATTTGTTCATGTTGTTTAAATTCTAATACACAAAATTCTCCTTTTCTTGTTTAATGTATCTCAAGGCTATGCTACAATAACTTGTGATGAAGTCACAAAATCTTTTTAGAATAAACTACCAATAAAATTGTCCATTTTTTGCACAACATTGAGAAATGTAATTTCATCATGTTGACACTTAAGCCCCATTCACATGCCCTGATTTACTTACAGGGGGCATATTTTGCATGCATGCAAAATCTGCACCCAGGTGTAAAAGTATATTTGCTAAGTGTTCACTCATTGAAGTCTAAAGAATGGATAATCATGACTGTCACAGTAAATGTTTTATCCATGACTTTTCTGATTTATTTATGCTAGTAATACTTTTACAAAAGAGTTTACATTCGCCGAAATCTGATCTGTGTGCTGCAGCTGCTGCCTTAACATACATGTACTTGCGAAGAAAAAATGCATGAAATTTTGTTAAGTGGGATGAGGGAGTTCATAAATGGATTAACACTTAATTTCAATGACTGGATTATTTGATTGTAGAGCAGTATTCCTTCTGGAGCAGTTCTTCTTGGCCCATCAGATTCCCATTGCTTCACCATAGCACAGCGATTAGGTACCTCCAGATTCATTAAGTATTTATTTCTTTAATTACATTGAAAATTGACCTTATCCAGGATCCTAATGATATGAATCAACCTTTTTTTCTGTTCTGTTCTGTAGCTAAGAAAACTGGGAAGCAGGTTTTTGTGAGTGGAAGTTTGGACTATGACCAGCTTATGCTACCCCTCATAGAAAAACGCATCGGACAGGAATTGCAGAACTTTCCTGAAAAATTCTATGAACCAAATTAAAGCTGTTTATAACATGTTTTAGCACTAATTACTACCACTGTTCTACTGAATCTTGATGATCTTGACTATCTGTTTCCAAAATAAAAATGACATGGTAAAACAATATTCCAACAAAGCACATACTAGTCTAGATAGTAGATAGAGAGTTACTGTCATGAAGCATGCATATATTTGTCTTTTATTCAAAATAAATGCTTCAAAAGATTCAGTTTACAAATATATGACTTTTAACATGTTTACCTGTTGTTGTTTTTTTTTATTACTGTACATTGTAAGGTGCTACAATTTAACTATCACTGAGTGTTTAGCTAAGTCTATACATACTATGCCCTCTTATATTTCATGAAGAATTGTGCTGTAATGTTGAAATGAACCTGTCATTTTCACATAAGAAGTCTGTTTGGGGATTCTGTGCATATTCACAAGTAAAAGCAAAAATTATTATCTAAATGTCTTTGAAGTTGTGTTTTATATTATTTAGTATACTGTAGGTCACTATATTTTCGCGACACTTTATTTTCGCGAGATAGTCATTGACTCTTTATAAGCGAGACAAAATTTTCACGAATTGTGGTCGTCACTCTATATAATCTTAAGGAATTCTATTATACACGAGAATTGAATTTTCGCGAGCATACCATCTCGCGTAATTACGCGAAAATAAAGTTCTCGTGAATAAAAAGTGATTTACAGTATGTAAGAGTCTGTTACTATACATGTATGCCAACAAATGTAACAGGGAAAAAATTGCCATTGACCAGGCTAGAGCATCTTAGCCCTCTACAGCAATGGTTTTTCATTGCATTGTGATTTAGAATTGAGGCCCCAGATGGTGAGCCTCAATACAAATTGAAAATTCATACTTGTAATGCAGTAAACCTTTATCTATGGCCATTTATCAATCAATCTTTTAGAATTGGTAGTATACAAACTATTTGCATAAGTGTAATGTTTGCACCCAGAACAAATGTACCCTGGTATGTTCTTTTTCTGTGATCTCCTGTTGCGACCCGCCGAAGGGGTGCATTTATATATTTTAAAAAAAGATTTCAGAGATTGTCCCTCTGTGGGTATGTAAACAAATTGTGTTTGTGAAACAATGATGCCCCCATATGAAAGCTTTTGGCAAAAGTTTACGTGTCTCAAATGCAAGTCAAACTCCAAGGTCAAGAGATGAAAAATGGTGTTACCTAGAGAAAGGACTTGTTCTCAGTGAATATATCTGTGAAATATTAAAATCTAAGCACTTATCAATAAAAAAAATTATGGCGAAGATTTAAGTTTTTTTAAATTTGGGTCAAACTCCAAGGTCAAAGTGTCATATTAAAGGTACTCAGAGGAAGGCGTTGTCATTAGATATGTATGAAAAATAGAACCATTTCCAGCTTAGTTTGGACTTTCAGTCAGGTGTGGCATTCTCGAAGTTACATAATTAGCTTCTGAAATTTACACCGCTTTCCTTTACTTTTGAAATATACATGGGATAGAAATTCGGGCAAATGCCATTTAGTGTATCAATTAACTAATTACATTGTTTCGTCCTGCAAAGAGGTGCTTAAGTTGTCTCATCGTTGTCAACAACAATTTTTATCCTGATGTTATTAATTTCTTAACCAATGAGAATCTATTTGCCATTTGATAGGAGGTAAACATGTAGCGCCAAGAATGCCACGCCTTACTGAAAGTCCAAACTAAGCTGGAAATGGTTCTATCAAAGCCTAGCACCAATTGTTCAAAAGCCAAGGTTATCATTTTTCAAAAGTAGGCCAAACTCTATATAGTCAAAAGATCAAAATTGTTGGTAACCAAAGAATACCTTCACATGAAATACCCCTGTGAAATATGAAACGGTTAATGGTGGGTAAATTTTTATAAAATTGGGTCAAACTCCAAGGTCAAGAGGTCAAAATTAAATATGTTCCCAAAGAAAGACCTTGTCGCAAAGATAGAATACACATGTGAAATACCATTGCTCGAACCAATCAAAAGTTATAAGCGATGAAATAGGTTTTTGCAGACAGACAGGCGGACGGACAGGATAAAAGTGAAACTGAACTACTCTGATTACGGAGGCATAAACACATGCTCTATCATTCTTTATATATAAGGAAAATCTTTAAAACTTTACAGAAACGAAAAATAATATCAGAATTCAAAAACTAGGAATGATAAACTAGGAATTTATGTATATTTTGGATAACTTATCGTGTCTAATAAACATTCTCTTCATCTACATGTACCATGACTGATACCCTCTTGAATCTTGATTTTACAGAGTAGCATCGCATTTTTTAAAAACTTCTTTCTTTTTGAGTAGTACAACATGACACATAACCCGTATTCCCCCCCAGAATATGCTTCAACTTCCATTTATACATTTTATTACTTACACTCCAATAGCAGAGATGGGTGTTGTTAAGAATTTCGTATCGCGATATATCATGATTTCCCCCCAAATTATCACGATAGCATCTTGATATATCTTGATATATTTACAGGCGATATTTTTTACAATAAATATTTGTAGGTTTTCCTTTTTAAAAAATGCTGGAAAAACAAAACTTCACTTTTCTCGATTAATTTTTAGTTGCATAATTAATGTCAAGCATTTTGGGATGGTAAGTAGGATGCCGTTCTCCAGCTGCGGAAAAGAAGCAAGATTTCAGTTCCCCAATATAAGAAATGAAATTATAAAGAAGTACAGTATCCAAACTCAAAAGTTCATCGGACTAAAACAAAATTGTACCGAAATAGAGCGAACACGAACATCGATCTTGCTGATTCAAAAAGGGATGTCTATTCACAGCAATTTTTAGGAACGTTTACAGTGATGTAGAATAGTTTTTAAGGGGGGGGGGGGGGGCAGAGAAAAAAATTCAACTTACCTGAAAAAAGCTTGACAAGTAAAAAAGAGGGAAATTGCCCAATCTCGAAAATCAACTTCTTCCAGTACCAAAAATTCTTCCTGAAATACTATAATTACCTTTGTTTGAACGTCTTGTAACAAAGGGCGGGGAGGGGGGCAACCGGCCTTTCAATTAACATTCTCAATAGTAAAATTAAGTTATGTTTGGGAAAAATGTTGTTGTTGTTGCTCTGTGCCTGTTTTATTCACATCTACCTATCTAATTGTATATAGGGGATGCTTACTCCTTCTCGGCACATGGTCCCGTCTTTGAAATTTCTGCGGGTTGGTGTTTTATACCATGTTTACGGATTTGTATTGTTTTTTTGGATTTTTTTAAAGATCGATCATTGTTCAATTCATAAAGGAAAATAAAAGCTATTAAAGTTTAAGCTGTATGTTAAAATTGCAATACGAACTTCTTATCCGGTTATTTTATACATATGCAGACCTTTACTTATGCAAGTCGACCGGACCTTTTGATATCATCAAACAAGATACCTGGACCTATGAACTGTTGAACCGAGAGAACCAAATATTATGCCACATAGATCACATTGATCCTGCAGCCCGATTCCTCGCATTTAATGTTAAACCTATTTTCCATGATCGCTAAAAACTTAAATATGAATAATCTAGAGATCAAATTCTTCATATGTTGTTCGAAAACGATCATACTTTTTTGCCAGGTATACGATTTTTAACAATTTAGTTTAAGGATGGTGCTTCAGATTAAATTATGATTTGAACCTTACGAGTAAATTCTTATCATTCACGTCATATATTTTTGGAAGTGTGTTTTGATTGGAATATGGCACACCTCTATACTTCGTTTTACATTATAATTAGGCCCCATATTAACAACTTCTTCCTAGACCTCGTATATACGGTTCATGCCAGCATGTTCTTCATATAATTCTGTAGTTTCAAATGTAGTTCCAAACAGCCTAATAAATTTTAACATGGGGTACGGTGCTTCGATGACCAACCTGTTTTTTTTTTCTGCATTTTAAAATTATGAAAGACTTCATTCCGATTTTCTGTTTAGCTCTACAACGCCCTACATTGATCGGATTATAAAAAGAAGATGTGTTTGTGGTACACTGGTGTTCTTAATTAAACGTTCCCCATGAAAAATTTTGGCGAATCAAACTTCAAGCCAGTCCAAGGTCAAAAGATAAAAACTGTTGTTAACCAACAAAATGATTTGTCTCAATGAAGATACCCGCACCATTGAAATATGAGAGCACAAGCACTAACCATTCAAAATTTAAGGTCATGTATATTTTTTAAATGTGGGTCAAGCTCAAAGGTTGAGTTCAAAGGGACAAATTAAAGGTACACAGGGGAAGGGTATATGTCATAAAAATATGTCATCTGTGAAATATTATACATTACATGGCCCTATCAACAAATGTGTAAAAGTAATGGCCAAGGTTTAAGTCAATCAAAAGACGTTCAAAGTCTAGGGTCGAGGTCAAAAGATCAGTATTGTTGGTACCCAAAGGAAGGAAGCCCCTGTCATAAGAAATATTCCTGTAAAAAATGAAGGTGCTCTAGTACTAACTGTTCAAAATCAATTATGTCCAAGGTAAAAGTTTTTAAAGTGTGTCAAACTCAAGGTTCAAGGTGAACAGGTAAGAAGCATTTATGTCTTTGGAAAGTAATGTCACAATATTGATATACACGTGAACATTGGCACTGGAAGCAAATTGAAAGGGGGGAGGGTGCTAAGTGAAAGAGAGATTGACAAGCAAGGGGAGTTGGGTGGAGTAGGATCAAACTTCTTTTGATACCTTTTTTTGCAAACAATATCATTTTTTATTTTGTTTGTTTGTTTTTTTTTCCTTCACCTAAACTGCACGTAACTTTTGCCTCGAAAGTGGGGGGGGGGGCTGCTAATCCCAGGCCCCGATGTGCAATGCCTATATTTTGTCTATCTTTGCAAAAAAGTGTTGGTGGGGGCATAAAATTAATGGAAATAAAAAAGGGTGAAAATATTCTGATGAAAACAGAAACCGAGTCGGTGAACGTTCTGATAGGGTATTCCGGAATTGCCATAATCGTAACCGATCTCGATTATAGCTACCGAAAAGGCCTACTTTCGGTTTGTCTTTGATTGAGGAAAGTGATTTTTCAGTTTTTAAAGTAAGTGAATATGTGGATTATTAATTACACATTATGTTTTTTTTATCTGCTTAAGTATATCTAAGATGTGAAAATTCGCAATAATCTGAATATTCCTAGTCATTGGTAAATGGTGTACTTTATAAATGAAGATAAGGTTCTTGCTCCTCAGGAGCATGCTAAAAGTAAAAAGAGCTAGGTTCACTTAATGTCTAAAACGGCACTGCAATTTTAGTGCAATACCCCCTTATCCAAATATAGCATGTTTTGTAATCCTTAGAAACAATTCTATTATAGTAAAAGTTAATTTTGTGCTGTACATGAAAAATTGAAAACTAGGGCTCTCCAAAGATTGTCAATTTCTATAGAATTTTTTAGGATGTAAGTAAAATGATGCAAATCTTAATTAATGTTGTAAGGCACTGAATAGGTAGAAAATTAGATTATTATTATTTTAATTTATAAATACATGAATGAGTCACTAATAGTCTAAATTTATCTAACGTATTATCAATAAAATTAGCAGTTTTTCTTTCCGTAAATTCATAGGGAGAAAAAAGGCCTCTAAACTTGTTCTTTTCATATTTTTTCTTGTATAAAAATAATTATTTTTATTTAGAAGCAGGGGATGACCATGCTATTCTGTGTGCAAACAGTAATTATGTACTCAGATACATGTAGTACTAGTTGTAATGATCTATCTATTAAGTAACACAATCAGAAATACATTGTATCATTTGCAATAATACAACATAATAAAAATCATGTTTAAAATATCTCCATTAATATTAACATGATTAAATTCACATGAATTATTTGATGAAAAATTGGGTCTCTGTTAGGATATGGATCTAGGATTTGGGTAGGTGCATCTGATTTAAGGTATGGGTTCATTGAGCCCCCATAAGGCTGCCAATGGGTCCAGGGGGCAAGGGATGAGAGGTCAAAAGTGGGGGCTTAGGGGGATGAAAGCTCCTGGATTCCAGAGACTTAATTATTAGAGAAAAATGAAAAATTCTAAGAAATCTTTTAAATTTTTCTTTTTTTTTTTAAATTTGGTGTGAAAAAATTAATAAAACTATTAATTTAATAGAAGGTCAGCTAGAGTGTGAAGGAAGCCACAACATGGCTCAGAGCCTTGCAAGGAAAGATTCTTTTTTCTATACCCCTTAATTAATTTTTTTTTTAAAAAATCATTTCTTTTTAAAGATTGAACAATAATTTGTCTGATTTGACAATTTTTGAAAGGGGGTGTATGCCCCTAATGACTACTAATGAAATGCTATAAATCACTTTTAATTTATTATAATAACGGTATACTTGGTGTTGCAATTCATTTTCACTGATTTTATTAATTATTCCACAGAAACACTGCAGTAAGAGTTAATTAATTTCAATATATCTTTATAAATTTTTCAAGAATTATTCACTGTGTGTTGAATTTGCAGAATTTTTATTCCCGCAATTATGTAGATTAATTAGAAATATTAAAATCTGCGAGAACCTTGTTCTGCTGTACAGTATAAACATTATTTTCTGGAAAAAAAAATTAAAATTAACCCTCCAGTGAATGATCTTAGGCTGTTCATCTGAGCAAACAATTAGCTAAGGAGCACAAGAGCCCTGAACATGCTGAAAAACTTAAACATGTATTTCCTAGTGGTAATGACTGGAATCAAGGGCAGAGAACCTGTGCTATTAGGTAGACTGATACAGTTAACATCCCTGTTATCATAATCATTTTTTTTCCTTAGTGCCAAGAAAAGTTTGCCTAACTGGGCATTGACCTGGCTTCTATTCGTACAAGATGTATAAAGTACATGGAGAATCTTTTTTGTTTGTTATAGATCTGTAAGCCTCTAAATGTTGCCAAAGCAAATTTTTTTAACAGGGGTATAGAGAGAAATGAACTCCTGATAACATGTATAACATGGATAAACTCCAAACCCACATAGCCAGATTTTAGCAACAATCCTGTTTCAGTTTTATTGTGAAATCTCCAGAATTGAATAACACCCGTAGTTTACCCCAATGAAGTACCAGTTTTTCACTCATATGTAACATACGTACTGTTAGATTATACGTTATACAGGAAGTGCAGTATCCTTCATGCATGGAGACAGGTAATGGTAGAACTTTAAAAGTCTCATCTTGTTTTTAGCTGCAACTGTATCTAGAGTAATATTTTTAATACTCGTGTTTTTCACCAAGTGTTTTTGACTGCAGATAAATTTCATAGCTCATCAATCACTGGCCAGGAGAAAATTGAAATACTGATTCTCTAGGAAATTGTCCAGAATTTCACAACACCAGATTCAGATACATTTTGACAATTAACGGACCTAAATATCAATATGCCAGTTCTAGAATCCAATCAGAATCGACTAGTGTGTGTGATGTCCTGCCAATTTTTTTTCAGACTAGTGATTTAGGTACTAAATAGCTAAATACTTGAATTTCAGCAACAAATTGTGTCAATTAATTTCATTTTGTTGGTATAAAAATATGATTGTCAGAGCCAAACATAATCTAATTAAAATTAGATGTTAGATCCGCTCACATACTCGCTTTACTTACATCTAAAAACATCCCATAGAGGGTCACCTCAGATATTCTATCAACCAAGCAAATTGTCACCCGCAAAATCATTGTAAACTTGTTGAAGCGAATAAGTTTAGAGTTGTTCTGACTTTGACCTATGACGTGACCCTCTCTGGGAACTGGGGAGGGGGGAGGGGAGGAGGGGGACTAGGGCTTAGCCCCCCCCCACTTTTTTTGCAAATATATACGTGATATAGGCACTGGATATTGGGGATTACCTTTTTTTGTTGGTTTAGCCCCCCCCCCCCACTTTCAATTAGCCCCCCGACTTTCAGTTTGCTTCCGACGCCTATGTGTTTGATGTTAGTGTAGCAATACACGAGGATCTCACATCTAATTTTAATAGATTAAGCCAAACATAATGTGATGCTGAAAGAAATCTTATTACATCTAAGTATTATAGGCATGCAATAAACTCAGACACTGTAAAACCAAAGATACATGTATGGAATTAGACAGAAACTAGATGAAATGCATGATGGTGCATCAGTTGATACATAAAAGGTTTTAAGAAATGAGAAAAACATTTCATCTGAATATTATCTATACAAATGTTCTCATGGTTTAATTGTCATCAGTGATAATATACATGTATTCATATTACCAGGGATGTCAAATTATTCAATTTTTGATAATTGGTTACTAATGGACAATTTTCCAATCAAGTACCTTGGTACTTGGTAAAATTGTAAACAAAGTAACAATTTTAGCACTGTATAGAGGGAAATTCTCGCCCCTATTTTATTTTTTTGCCCCTTTTGCCCTGTCCTCCTTTGGGCAATTTGAAATGGAGCGAATTTAAAGAATACAGTATAATTTCTTAAACAAAACTATGACTGGGCGAATTTAAAACGGGACAGAATTGTTTTCAAGTGTGAAAGTGCGAAAATAACCCGGTATACAGTATTTGATACTTGGACATTTGTTTTAGTACCCGTTTAAGGGCTACTCTTTTACATCCCTAATTTATATCTTAAATAGTGTAATACACAACCACTCCCACAAGATGTTCCCAGCAGTCTGTCAGAAGTTTGTCCATGCCATGGGCCCAGAGACGATGATGCCCGCTCACAGTATGGACGCAGCGCAGGATCTAGACTTACTGAAGATCGTGCTGCGGAAAACAAAAAGACGCTATCTCTTCTGGGAAAAAGTGACGCATACTGTGCTCGACTTTCATGTACTTTAAATTTGTATTCATATTTAATTAATTCTTATTTGGATCAATATTGTTGCAATTTAGTTTGTAAAAAGGATATAGCTGCTGAATGCCAACACTTTAACTGAATGCAATTTCTGTATTTAACACAAGTGAGGTTTATAATTATTACAAGGAATAGTAATACGTTCAAAGTTTGCATGTAAATATTTTTGTAGAAAGTATGCATTCATATTCTTGATAAATGCTGTAATATTTTTTTAACACATATGTAGTTATTCTTATTGATATCTAGCTTCAGGCACTGCTAGAAAACAGCCATGTTGTTCTCGATGTTCCGAGTAAAACCAAAAATTTCTGTGAGTTTAATCCGGAGAGTAAATATTCCCTGGATGGAAAGCTGGGGATCAAGTTGATGAAGGAATTAATGGATTCCTCTTTATCTGCATCAGACTCGGTCACTATTTCATCTAAACTAGGAACCATTCAGGAGAAATCACTGGATTCAGAGGCACTGCTGGAAGCACTCAGGGGCAGGTAACTCTTAATTCAGAATTATTTCAATTGCTGCTTGGGTTGGATGTAAAGACAATAACTTAACATTTCCTTGGAAAGTTAAGTATTATATTGGCTTTTGATTTTAAATTTGGTGTTGCCATAGTTACTAATTATATAAATTTCTTTAAATTATCTTTAAAAAATCTAATCCTCCTTGGGTTTTGGTTTGGTCTTATATATTTCATTAAGACTTAATTATTAAGACTTAGTACACAAGTAAACTATACATATCTATATAATTCATACATATATGATTCTGATTTTATAAAACATTTTTTTCATACATGAGTCTAACTGATAAACATTTCTAACTAGTTGTTGAGCTCCAGAGTGTGAGTATTTAAGATTTGCCACCTTAATGGCAACACAGCAGTGCTTATTTGTAGCAAAATCAATCTGCCTGATCTGGTCATGTTAAGCTTTATAACTCCTCTGTCCTCTGCACTTAGTTTATTCAAAGAAAAATGACAATCTGGTACATCTAGATAACATGTGGACAGAACAACAGCTGTTTTATGCTTTTAATATATGTTATTTCAGAAAAAAAACCAGTTATATATACTGTGGTTGTTAATTATACATGTACCATGTTAACTGGATCATTTTCCCAATTCATGATAGCATTTGATTCATTTAGTGTCATTAAACACTTGCTTAAAAAAGGTAACCTACAGAATGCACAGTTGACTATGACCTGTAATTGGAATGTACAGTTGACTATGACATACTGTAAAATCACATATTTTCGTGGGGTCAAATTTGCGTGGTTTGAGGAAAAACTCTTGGTTCGTTGTGATTTGAATTCGAGGATGAAGAATTGTTGAGAAGTTATGTATGTAACATTTTACATTTCATAGTGATGTGAATTCATAGGTCTCTTCATACTTTGAAAACAACGAAAATTAAACCCCCACGAAAATTTGTGAATTCACAGGATAATTGGAAAGTACATTTGACTATGACCTACAAATGGAATGTATAGTTGACCATGATCTATAATTGGAATGAAAAGTTGATTATGACCAACGTATGAAAAGTTGATTATGACCAACTGTTGGAATGTATAGTTGACTATGACCTACAAATGGAATGTACAGTTGATTGTGACCTATGAATAGAATTTACAGTTGACTATGACCAACTGCTACAATGTAAAGTTGACTATGACCTATAATTGCAATGTACAGTTGACTTTGACCTACTGTTGCAATGTACAATTACTTTGACCTTCAAATGGAATGTACAGTTGACTATGACCTACTGTTGCAATGTACAGTTGACTTTGACATATAATTGGTATGTATGAAACAGGCTTGATATCTTTGTTGAAGATCTCTTAATTATGCTGAGACCTCTTGTTACATCACACATGAATAAACAAAAAATTCCAAGAACCAAGTTTCATTTCAAGTGATCCTTTTCCTTTCTTTAAACTTTTCACGTTATTATAAAATAGTTGAAGGTTTTTCTCAATTCATGTCTGTTTTCTTTGTCAATTTTTTTTTCAATTAATAATTTTTTAAATATTAATTTGCAGATAATTATAGACCATTTACAGTCCATCTGTACTGTCTTTTTTATATACAATTTCTTGTCCACCTCTGATGTTTTGGAGGTCTGTTTTGCTCTGCTCCTATTTTGTATTGTTTTATGGACTTTTGATCTTGAATACTGTTCGTTACTTCCATATGTTTCATTATAAAGTTTTCTTCAGAAGTTAATAGAGTATTCAATTTATTCTTGCTTTTTTTGATCGACATGTTCCAAATTCTTGTTAGTACACGTATATCTTAATGAACAGGAAGGAGGTGTAGACGAGTCTGCTGAAAAACAGTATTTGTCACAAATGTTATTGTGTGAGTTTATATAGACATTGAAAATGAGTATTTTATCTGGCTCTTCTTTCAGAAAATTGGATATGAACAACATGATTGTAAATCAGGTCCTTGGGAGCTCTAAACAGTCAATTAGTCTGTGCATTGTCAACGATTTATACGTAGTCGAGAAAAACGCAGAAATAAAGAGAGTTTCTTCAGTGGATGAAAAAATGGATCTTGGTGAAAAGGTACAGTAAAACATGCTTCTAGCATGTACAATGAACTGATATAACAATTACAACAATTAAATCACTTTGTAACTATTAAGCAAAACCATCTGTCCCAGCACTTAGATGAAAAAAAATATTTACATGGTACTGTATTTTAATAGCATCATTATATCCAGATTGCAAATACTGTAAACATGCTTATATTTCGTGAAAATGATATCTTAGCTCCTTTGGCACTAAAAATTAAAAAAAAAAAATGTGAGTGCACTTGTTTTTGTTCATGTACAGTACTCAAAAATTACTCTAAAATCACATATTTTCATGGGGTCAAATTTCGAGATTTGAGGAAAAAATATTGGTTTGTGAGGATTTGATTTCAGATTGAAGAAAATGTTTAGTAGTAATGCATATAAAATTTTGTTTCTTGTTGTGGACATACATTCGTGGGTCTCTCTATACCTCTAAGACAATGAAAATTAACCCCGCCATGAAAATTACTTATTTCATAGTGGTTGATGAGTTGTCATCAACGACATTGAACTGTATTGACTACTTGATTAGTTAACTAGACTAAGTACACTTTTTTCTCTTTAGGTAACGGCAGTGCCTGGTAATGTGGATGAAAATTTTCATTACGACAAAACAGGTGACATTGTCGTCCCTGCTGGCACCCCAGTGGCTTACAAGGTGTGGGAACTTCAGGTTAGGGCCAGTGATGGGACCATCACCCCCATGACGCTACCCACAGGCAAGGGAGGGTTCCTGGGTAGCCGCTCCAATGTGGACCTTGCTGACAGTCTTGGTAAGAAAAATATAATATTAAAGCAAAACACAACTACAGCAAACTTGCTTAATAAGTATAATATACAGTTTAAATCGTTTAGTACAAAGACGGATATCGCAAATTCAGGGATATAACAAAATCATTTTGCATCCCCAGGTGTGATATTGTAATGTAGGCATTTTTTGTTTTTTCCCCCACAGATCATGAGAAACCAGCCGACAAAACAGGACATGAAATAGTGGCAGACACTTTAAAACCTTTGGTAACCATGAAAGATAGTGAGAGACAAGCTTTGATTTCAGCTTTTAAGACCGTCATGGGAAATCAAGCAGAAATCAGGGAGCTGGAACACTTGGTATGGGATTTTGTTTGTAGTCGGTACAGTTAGCTATAGTTGAAGATTTGTCAGATTTTGCTGTGATAGTTGAGTTAGTGCCCTTGTCAGCATCCATCTTGTTTTTCATTTACACCCCTTTCATTTTCAGTTCAGTCATGTAGAAGCAGGAGAGTTTAAAGAAGTCTCTTTCTCAGAATGGATGAAAAATTGTTCTTCTGATGAAAACATTTTCAAGACAATTCTAACATCCAGTGGATTCATAATTAAGGTATTAACATGTACATAGGTGCCTGTGAAGGTCCTTGGGCCTCTTGTTATAATACAGTATGTAATTTATAACTTTTCTACTTTTTTTCTCAGGGGGATAAGCTTCAGTACCCCTCACCCACCAGTGACACTCTTACAGCCTGTGCCTATCTTTTGGGGGCACTGCATGAATTTAACAAGCGAGAACTACAGCTACTTGTCTCCTGTGAAAAAGAAGCAGGAATACCTCTAGTAGAGATGGTGAGTAAATTTACTGTAAAATCATAATTGTTCATGGGGAACCATATTAGTGGAATTCATGGGTCACCCTTATACCCACAAATTTGCATCCCCATAAATGTTTATTTTGTAGACATATTGATTTAAAGAATCAACCACATAAATGAGCAACCCATGAAATTACATGTACATCCTCACACACAAGTAAAATTTGACCCTACAAATTAAAATAGCCCACTTTGGCTAGATCTGCAGCAATAATCCATTTCAACCTCTATGTACTTTTCGAAATGATGTTGCAAAGCTACAAGTATTGCATGATTTTAAACAATAAACCTACAAATTTATATTTTTCAGTGCTCCCAAGCCATTAGTGGAGAGAGTGCTATATCAGTACCAGACTTAGCTAAAGTTCTAGGTAAAGGGACAGCTGGCCGAAACCTTGCAGAGTCCCTGGGATTCAAGCTGGATGATGGAAACAACACAGTTACTGCCCCTAGTCACATTTCAAAAACATTTGAGAATAGTTACTGGGCCTTGTACACAATGTTTAAGTAATTCATGTGGCCTCCTTATTGATGCTTTAACTTTTGTGCCAATTCAGCATGCTCATGTAGCAGACGTTTTTTTAACATATATGTAGATATAATCTATACATGTATGAAATGCATACATGTAGGTAAACTTCATAACCTTGAGCACTGAAACTGAATACCTTGGACGTTGAAGTAATTTTGAAGCCTTATCACTTTCTTGAGATAAAAAGGAATATTGATTAAGTATTTACCCTTATATATTTTTTCTTATTCTAGTAGAGCTCAAGTTAACAGGATTTGTGTGTATTTATAGCAGCTCAAAAAATTGTCTCAGAATCTCCAGAGAACTGTTATAAATAAATAAATAAAGGAAAACATGTTTATAAAACTTGTATGTATTTTAATTAAACACTGCCAAATTTTGAACAGACCTACACAACTCTGTGTTCTGGCCCCGGGATCATGAAACAGACTTGGACTTAAGTCGAAATTTTAATTATCTATAAAATCTTTAAAACTTGTTAAAGGAAACTCATAATTTGCATGCAACAGCAGGCTGATGATACAAAATCGGAAAACATTTTCATTTTGGGCTGCATGATCTCTAAAAAATTTCAGCATCTAAGGCATTTTTTGACTTAAGCTTAAGATGCTTCATGATCCCGGGGCCTGGTTGCAAACATGTCATATTTATTTACCGGTACTGTGCAAAATGGAATTAAATATAGAAAAAAAAACTTTGAAACTGTCTTTGAAACTGTCTTGCTCTTCTCTGAAAAAAGGAATGAATGACACTTTTGTAAAAAATACTTGTACCGGTATATCCCCCAGCAGGTTCTAGTGTTTCACCTCCCAGGTGAAATCTTATAACAATGCCACTGTGGACTGTGGAGTCCAGTCCTTCGGATGAGACCCGTTAACGAGGTCCCGTGTCGCAGTAGGTACTGGCATGAAAAAAATCCCTCTCTGCTCAATGGTTGTTAAGTGGGGAGTATGACAAAATTTGCAATTCTTCAATGGCAAGTGGCAGCTTTCCATGCGAGTGAAAAGTTCTTATGAAAGATGTTAAATAAGACCGAAATCTAGTGTACTTGTACAAGTTCTCACTAGCAAGATTACCAAGTCACTTGGGTATTTGAAAATGAGTACAAAACACATACTGTACTTGTATAAATATATTTATTTTTTATCACATTGAATTACACCATTCATCCATCAGACACAAAGTTGTCGTATGATATTGTTTGATTAATGGCTGAATATTTTGTGTTAAAGAATGGAAACGGAAAAATTGCACTGAAAGTTTTGTTCATCAAATTAACAAGCTGAAATATAGTGATGAAGAAGACAGAATGCATGAAGGATTGCATATTACATGTACTTATGTTTTTTTTCCCAAAACACTTGGTCGGTTATCTTAGATGATTGCTTGCCTGCATAAATTTAGGGTATAATGACCACTTAACATTCTCAATAACAAATTCTTCATAAGTAGAACATAGAGTGGATGATAAATGTGAAGATACACAAGTGCTCTCTACTACAATAATATACACTTCATTTATAGAACTGTTAATGATATTAAACAACCAACATGTTTATACCACAGTAACCTCCCCTTATATTTCCGTCGAGCCATTGACCACAATATTGAATACTTCACAATTATTTTTCCCCCAAAGTAACATATTATTATGTGGTTATGTATAATTCAATTTATGTCACAATCAATTAACCTTTCCAGATTTTTGGAAATTATTTTCATATCTTCTTTTTAACCAGAACCTTATCTGTTTAAAAAACTTAAAAATTGAAAATTCAGAGTTTTCCTCTTTTAAAATCCTTTTAACATTTTCCCTCAAAAGTCTAAAACATCTGGTCATAAACATGATGGAAAAACTTCATACAAATTTCATACAACCTAGAAAATAAAAGTGAATTCATATATTGCTAAAGTAAATAATTTCAGCTCACTGCACTTTACTTGATATATTAACTGTGGAAGGATAAAATCTTAATTTCTACTAATTTGTATAAGATATAGATGTATATGTGTTAATACTTTTCAAGCTTGACTGAGGAACTATGGCTGTATTGTAATTTAAGCAAGCAAATTTAATGTTAATTAAGTATTTATATTGAAGATTAGATATGCCAAAGCTTATTGCTCTACATTAGTAATCAATCCAGTAAAATAGTGTTTTATTTATACATGTATTTGATTTTAATAGTGGAAATTCTTTTGCAGAGAAAAAAAAAGCACTAAGGTTTTCAAACTGTACATTGTATAGTTTGTTGTATTCATAAAAGATTTTTACAACTTGCAAAAAACGTGTTTTAAAAAAATTGTAAGCAGTATTTCCTACAAATCAGATGTTGTGAAAGCAAATATATATTTCAGTATACTGCTTGAAAACTTCACTCTGTAAAGATGTACACAACCTTCAATTGAAAAGTAAACACTAATACATACATATATATAGGAGTATAAATACAGTGTATACATGTATAAATAAAATATTTAAACAATCTACCAAAATAAATTTCCAGCAACAATGTTTTATATGCACCAATTTCTTACAGATGAGCACCCGTCCACTGGGACTTGGTAGACTGAAGGGGAGACAAATTCATATCAAGGGCATCATTAGAATTTTCTTTAAATCATCTCTAAATTTTTTCCTTCAACATTTTGAAACTCAAGTTTTGAACACCACGGATTTTCATATTTGCAAGTTTAAGGGCATTGCAATTATTCTTTTCTATTCATTTGGTCCTCAATTGTAATAATCATATTGATCATTGCCAAAAACTCCTTGTTTTTTCCCAACAAACTGGCCAATATATTGACATACCACATACCACAATGTATGTACTGGAATAGCTATTCAAACACACTACTTTTGCTACAATTCTCCTTCTTTCAAATGGTCCCTAAAATAATATTCTGAATGAAAAACCTGCAAAAAGCTGACATGAATAATCCAACCATGTGAAAGTGAATCATTTGTTAGAACTCATAAAATAAGAGCCATAGAAAGATAGCAACAGTTACCTTTCCAAACAAAAAAGACAAACGAAACGACAAATGACTCACGACACCAGGATCATGTTCATCAGAAAATGTACTATGAGGAGATTAAATTAGAACAAATCTAATTAGAGCAAAAATAAACTCACTATAGAGGAATTAAAAATTGGTAAATTTACTTGTCTAAAAAAGTTCAGCACCAATATCAAAGGAATATTCATTCAATTGAAAAAAAACTGCCATGTTTTAACAGGAAAAACTTGTGACTGTCTAAGAGTATTTTTTTAAATGTACAACATGTACATGTAAAAGTGTAACTTTGTCATTAAGCTACAGCAAGATTAACAAAGAAATCTTAATTCACACTTTGATAAAACATTCTGGCAACCCAATTTTTGATTTTCTATTAAAATTCTCTATAAATCTCATTGGCATCAGAAATATAGAATATTACATCTAAGTTTTCTCTGTCAGAAATACATCACTTCATTAACCTCCCTATTTAGAAACACATTGGTGTAATGCTGATGAAACATGCTGTAATGTTTTTTTAATGAAAAATTGCTAACAACAATGCAGAAAAACAGGGGGAAGTAACTGTCATGGAGAGTAAGTAATTTATGAATGGAGTTAATATGTTTCTGGAATGTTTACTTGGTATTGTCTTTGACAATATGATAATACATGTACATATAGATATCAAATACTTAATATATATCGCAAACAATAGTGCAAATTGAATATATTTCTGATATACATTTAACAACCTCTAGTATATATATTTTATACATTTAAAAAAAAAAAGATATGGTGGGATACATGTTTGATAACAACCATAAGTTACACATACTGTAGATATCTTAGTGTTGTTATGTGTGTGTGATATGATATACACAGTAATTTTCCTTTCTCGGCCATTATGGTCTGGTCTATTTAACTCTGAGACAAATGTTCTAAACATGGCTATATATACAAGTATATACCCTGTTAGAAAAACAGGAAACTAGGACCCCCAGCTTCCCATAGTCATGTTGAGATTTGTGAATTAAAAAAAACAAGAGGCCCATGGGCCTTATAGGTCACCTGAGCATTATGCAACAACTTTCCAGTGATTAAATTTAATTCATCATAACAATTCACTTAGCAGTTGCTTAGTTTGTTTACTCAATACCCATACACAAGGTAGGGGAACAAAAAATGCATTTCAACTAATCAGTTATATTCAGCAATAATCAGTAGTGCCCCTACTACACATGAACCCCTGACCCTTAGGCCTTGATATTTGATTAATACCAAGGAGCAAATTTCAAACCATTCATTCATTTTCAGTATATAAGTACACACCCCCATATTACCCCTGACCCTGGGGCCTTGAAATTCACAATTCTGGAAGATTAGGGCCCTTGTAGATAATAACTATATAGGTACTTCATCTGCTTAATACCCTAGAGCAGAGAAGAAAATTTTTAAAGATTTAATGAATTTTCACTATATAATCTATAGAGCCCCGCCCTAACACCAAAACCCGACCCTGGGGCCATAAAATTCATAATTTTGGTAGAGGCACTCTTGCTCATCATAATTATGCACTTAGTTAGTTTATTTAATACCCAGGAGCAATGAAGAAGATTTTCAAAGAATTCATGTATTTTCACTATATAATCAATAGAGCCCCACCCTAACACCAGAACCCCTGACCCTGGGGCCATAAAATTCACAATTTTGGTTGAGGCACTCTTGTTCATCATAACTATGCACTTAGTTAGTTTATTTAATACCCAGGAGCACAGAAGAAGATTTTGAAAGAATTCGTGTATCCTTAACTACATAATCTATCGAGCCCCCCCCCCCCCAGCACTAGAACCCCTGACCCTGGGGCCAAAAAATTCACAATTTTGGTAGAGGCACTCTTGCTCATTATAACTATGCACTTAGTTTATTTAATACCCAGGTGCAGAGAAGATTTTCAAAGAATTCATGTATTTTCACTATATAATCAATAGAGCCCCCCCCCCCTAATACCAGAACCCCTTATCCTGGGGCCATAAAATTCACAATATTGGTAGAGGCACTCTTGCTCACCATAACTAGGCACTTAGTTAGCTTATTTAATACCCAGGAGCAGAGAAGAAGATTTTCAAAGAATTCATGTATTTTCAATATATAATCAATAGAGCCCCGCCCTAACACCAGAACCCCTGACCCTGGGGCCATAAAATTCACAATTTTGGTAGAGGCACTCTTGCTCATCATAATTATATACTTAGTTAGTTTATTTAATACCCAGGAGCAGAGAAGAAGATTTTCAAAGAATTCATGTATTTTCACTATATAATCAAAAGAGAGCCCCACCCTAACACCAGAACCCCTGACCCTGGGGCCATAAAATTCACAATTTTGGTAGAGGCACTCTTGCTCATCATAACTATGTACTTAGTTAGTTTATTTAATACCCAGGAGCAGAGAAGAAGATTTTCAAAGAATTCATGTATTTTCACTATATAATCAATAGAGCCCCACCCTAACACCAGAACCCCTGACCCTGGGGCCATAAAATTCACAATTTTGGTAGAGGCACTCTTGCTCATCATAACTATGTACTTAGTTAGTTTATTTAATACCCAGGAGCAGAGAAGAAGATTTTCAAAGAAATAATGCATTTTCACTACCTACTTATTTAGCCCCGCCCTAGCACTAGAACCCCTGACCCTGGGGCCATGAATTTCACAATTTTGGTAGAGGACTCATTGCTGATTACAATCATGCAACCAGTTTGACTGCTTGTGTGTGGAGTAAAGAAGAAGATTTTTAAAGATTGCATTAATTTTAGTGGTTTTGGCCCCACCCCTCAGGCCCCTGGGGGGCAGGGATCATGAAATTCACAATTTTTGTTCCCCTTCACCCATAGATGCTTTGTGGCAAATTTGGTTGAAATTGGTTCAGTGGTTGCAGAGAAGAAGCTGAAAATGTTCAAATGTTAACGCACAACGCACGACGCACGACGCACGACGACGGACGAAAACGGATAGCAATAGGTCACCTGAGTTTACTCAGGTGACCTAAAAACATGATAAGGAGACATCAATATGGCAGTTTTTCAGCCAATCATAAAATACAACAGGAAAAAATGATAAACCAATCATCTTGTTCATTATATAAAGTATATGGAAATAAAAGATGATACATCAACCAATCGTATTGTACACTGTAAATAATACATAAAATATTTCATTCTTCCAATCACAACAACAAAACAGTTAAAACAACCCCTTTTGCTTGTATGTAGACAACACTTTGTGACATGTTACATCATAACCTTTTCTCATTCTGAACACTTCAGTTTGTTCATGTAAAGTTATCACTGACCATAAAGGAATTATTGCATTCAAGGAGTGAATCTTGTATAAAGAACTTTTCACTCCATCTTGTCTAATAACCTTGCTTTTTTTTAAAAAAGTACACAACTTCTCTCCTTAATATACGTCAATATACAAAACATATCGATTCTGTATACCATAATGTATTGTGAAATGCTTGTAAAGTACCACATGTATTTGCTGAGACATCACCAACTTGTGTAGACAGACGAGCACTATATCCAAATTCCCTGTGATGAGAGTTTTCACAACATCAATAGTTAAATCCTACGGACTTTTTGTCTTCATTTCTTCTTCTGAAGTTGCTTTTTCTGTTCTTTCTCTTTGGCTTTCCTTTCTTTCTCCTGAATTTTCTTTTCTTTCTCCATGCCAGTTTTAATTTCTTTAATTTTCTTTTTCAATAAGTCTCTGTCTTTACTACTAGCAATGCCCATTGTCTGGAAGGGAATAAATTAACAATTATTTCATGTTAATTTATCAAAGGTATAGCATATGCCTATTTATTATCCATTACTACATGTCAAACTCTAAATAATACATTCTGAAGAAATTTCTAAATCAAACATCTTAAAGATATGCATTAATTTTTTTTGTATTTGTATTTTTCTACAGAAATGAAGGATTCTAATCCCAAAATAAAAGCTTTTTTTAGAAAGACCAGTACAAATTTTCAAATGCTGAACCAATGAATCTCACCTTTAACTTTGTGCCATCTAGTTGAATTAGTTGAGGTCCTGTTATGTTTTTCTCAGCAAAGAGAGGAATATATTTCTCTAACTCGAGAAGCATTAACCAGTGGGCCACGTTTTCCACGGACCACTCCGAAATGGACCCGGACTGAAACTGATTGACCTGTCTCTTACTGGAAGATTTGTCCTACAGAAAATCAAATCAAATTGTTATGGCATACAGTAAAGCATGGTTATATCAAAACATGCTGATAATGAATTCACAATGACAGTCGAGTCATTTCCATTCCCTACTGTAGTTTAAACATATTATGGATCAAATAATGTAAATATCCAATCAAAATTGTGCATCCTTGGTACTTCTGCTGAGTGTTACCATGTTTTACGATATCTGAAATTCACCTGACTGTAGAACTTTATTTTGATATAATTTTCCAACCTCTACCATATCATGAATGATGAAGTTTGGCTCCTCCATAATGAGAGGGATACATGTATATGTACTTACATCAAGGGCTGGAGTTCCTGAGATATTTAGGGAGAAAAATGTCTTTTTGCCGTCATCATCGTCGTATTCTTGCACCATGTATGAAGAGGAAACATCACTTGTTGTACTGACACCTGAATCATAACAGTTTACAGTTTGAGATTTAGACCCGAGGTAGCAAGACATTTCTATTGTTAAGAAATCATTCATTTTCTGTATTTCTGATCTTATATTTTTTTAAAATCACTTGACTCTGATCCTATGAGGAGAAAAAAATGATTTAAAAGAAATGTGGAAGGACTTAAGGTGTGGAAAAGAAATCCCCTAGTATGTAAATTAATAACATTTACTAGCTGCATTACAAGACCCTGTACCCTTCTAGACACATTATCATAATCTAATACATGTTGAGCTGTTAGTAATAATTTGTTATATATAACACTAGTATTACTTATATGACTATATCATTTGTACGTGTATAACATAGACTGAAGCTAAACATATTCATGCATGGTTTTCAATATGGTAATGTAATACAACAAAACAAATGCACAAATGCTCTGTGTTCTGAATTGCAGTGTGATTTGAAACTGTGGATAGGTGAACAATCAAAGAAAGGGGGGTGAGGGTGTGACACGTTTGTTAAAGCCTACCTGGTAAAGATTTGGGAGAAGAACTCCTGACTGTTAGCCAGCAAGAAAAACAAGAGACAGGACAAATATACATTACTGAATACACAATACAGTACGGAAATTACAACTCTTCAAATTTACAAGAGACAGTAATCCAGAAATTCTCTCTTTCATCCATTCTTTCCCTCTCTCTATCTCTCTTAAGAAAGGAATCTATAAGACTTACCATCCAGCGACTCTGTGGACATATCCAGAGGACGCTTGGATATGAGAGTTATGCCCCCTTCCTCTCCCGAGCTCCCCTGCTCCTTATTAAGAGAACGATTGGACAACAAAACCACACCACTGTTTTCTGCATTACCTCCACTCTTACCAAATTTTAACAGTTTGGACAAACCTAGGCCTAGGTAAAGAGACATACAAATCATGTACACACTCGTCTCACAGATTTCCTGTCCCAAACAATATTCCTCCTTTCCCTGTCGAGATCCTGACTTTTTTTTCAACTATATAGATCCATGCTTTGAATCATGCTTTCTTGTATAATAAGGTTACAAAATACAAACTCTCCAATATTGCATGCTTTTTCATTCCTCCTTCTTTTTAGTTTGTAAGTAAAAGATGACAGTCTTGATTATCTCAGATTTAAGATTTTGTGTGAGACAGAAACAGCAGCACTTTGAAAGAAAATGTGTACCATTAAGACAGATTGAAGATGTTAATAGATTGCTTTACTTCATATTTACATTATTTAAAACATTTAGTAACAATTAATGTTGGATTATGAAGTCCAAATTGACCTTAAACTCTCAATTTTTTTATGCACTAGCCCTTGATCTTGACTGCTTTTAAGTTATGAACTTGAGTTTCTATTAATAAAGCTTTTTCACACTTCGGACTGATAATTCTATATTATTCACATCTTTGCCTACACACCTCCAAACTTTTTCCCCTTATTTATCTCTTAAAAAATTGCACTTTCTGCCAATTTCCAGTAAGATAGAATTTTTTTTAATGGTACAAAAATTTCTTCTACAAAATCTTTATATAAAAGAAACTTGGGTAAAATTAAACTCAAAGGCACATATTCAAAATTACTAGCAGGTAGTAAATATGCTGCATGCTCATGCAAACACAATAATTAATAATAATTGCTATCAATGCAACATATAAGAAATGACAGTACTAAACAAAAAGTGTTGAACAAATAATGTTTAATTATATTGTAGCAAGCAAGTCAAAATTTTGCACAACACTGTCAGTGAAGTGTACTGCATGAAGCCATAGTCCTATACATTTAACTAATTATGACAAAAAAGTAATCACATTTGCATGACTATTTTACATGAAATAACATTTGCCCAAAATTATAGGAATGTCAAATTTTCATTAATATTTTTTTTTTAGAAATGCTAGTATCCTTCTTTCAAGAAAATATCTAGGCTCTTTCCCTAATTGTTCAATGATTTATAGTACATGTATGAAGAATTGTTAAAGGAAAGTACTTGCAAATAAGAAACAGATAATTAACTGAATTAATTTCTTTTATGCATTTCAGGCAAGTAGCATTTTTTTTACTAGTAAATAAGTATTTAGTTTACTTTACCATTCAAATTCCAAACTTTAAATAGATAATTTTTCATTTTTTTTAAATATTATAAAAACATGACACAGAAATCTTCATGTGTTTCATTATTAGCCCTATATCTAGACTTTCTACTTTTTCTATACACCTGTAAATGCCCTAAATGCATAAATGCATGATGTTTAAGTCACACAAAAACAATGCATTACTCCAGCACACCGAAAGCTATATGTTACCTTTACTTTTTCCGGCACTGCCTATGGAGGGGATTTCCTCAGGGAGGGAGTCGGGGATTTCTGACTGCATGTTTTTAAACATCGGCTGGGAGGGGTCATATGATGTCTGGGACACAGTGGAGGAGGAGTCCTCGTTCTCACTGTCCTGCCTGAAATACACAGCCAATAAATTACGGAACTCACTGTTTATTTCATTAAGTTAGTACTAAATACACTGGCAAATTTGTCAAAATTGAATGTTAAGAGTGAATGAGTATTTGAATTATATAATGACTGCTGGATATACTTTGAATCTTTCTGGAAACATTGACAGAAATAATATTAATGTATTTCTTTAAATCATCCTGAAACAAATTTTGTTAAAGTGACATCACACTACATTAAGGGTACTGGAAACAAGTTACATAACATACTAAACTGTAATGGAATACGTAATTTGATTACTAACAGCACAATACACAGGAAAGCTTAAAGGTGCAATATTGATGATACAATGTATATATGATATATTAATACAATATTGTTCTTAATATTGCTAAGATATAACACTACATCTCTAAGTACTACTATATAGAAGTCTATAGATGAATATACTGGTATATACAGGTATATACAGCTAAAAATACTAATAACCATTTAAGAAACATTTTTTTAACACTATTTTTTCACAAACACAGTTGAAAATACGTGTTACACAGATCATTTCTCAGATATTCTCTTGTACCCTTGAATACTCGGTTTAGAAGCTCTTATAATAGAATGATATGAAAGTTATGTGGTATATAATCACTTCACAAGCAATAAGCAATGCTTAGGGCATATCTTCACTCAGGTACAAGTGTATTAATCACCACTCACTGGTTAACAAAATTAGTACAAAAATTGTCTTGCAACTCACAGCTTTAATTACATATATGACAGTTTCAATGTATTTGTGGTTAAATCAGAAGGGCACTAAGAACTGCACTAAGAGAGAGGAGGTTAATTCTATTCTGAGGACGTCTGCACTATAGGTGGTCACGATGCTGTGTGGGCGTGCCCTGACTACCTACCTGGAGTGGGACTGGTCACTGACAGAGTCACTGTCGGGCCCCTGGGGAGGTGGGGGAGGGGGTGGTATATTGGGGGGTTGTAATAAATTCTTCTGCTGAGCTTTTCTCTTTTTTGCATCACTTTTCTTGACTGTACTGTCGCTATAAAACAAATTGCTCGTGACAAAAATACACACAAAATAATGAGAAAACTGAAAAATCAGCTGAACCCTGAAGTTCTGTTAAAAACAAGGATGGCTGATTCTTGAAATAAAGGGTAGCTAATACTTGAAATTTAGCATTTGCAAATGAGACTAATTCTATATGAAAACAAACTTGGTGACAATGATTTGGGAACCTAGTTAATTATCTGTAAGTTTTACATAATTAAATGTCAAGTATTAATAAATGCAATTATTAAAAAAATCCTTCTTCAGAAAGTTTAAAAAAATAAATAACAAAGCTGAAATAAAAAGTTTTCAAAACATGTCATGATTAAGGACACTGAATACCTTAAAAGAAAATTATCACACAATATAACCACTACAAATAAGAGATAATGCCTTCACTTTCATGCAAATAATGATCAATCATGCACCAGAGGATGCATATTAAAATTTACTGTACATGTACTGTACATAATATAATACTACAGTGAGATATTGTTAACCATTCCACAGCAGGCATGTCTTCAGTGGGCTTGTTTATTTTAAATCATTAATTGTTGTTTTAATTAATAAAGTAAGAAATTTAAAGTAAGTTTTACTTTCACTTCAAATTTATAATGTACAATACCCAGTGAAGACTCTGTAGTGCATAACAACTCCAACAATTTCAAGAAAATGTCTTTTTATAATGAGAACTGAGTAATGACTTCAAAAATTTATAATTATTGTGCAATGACGGAAATTCACATTCATACAGGTATATCCTGGCTATTGTTTAGAAAAAAAATGCATCTTTTAACAAATGCTATGAATGTGCTGATTTGGAAGATTTTCTTCATTTCCTAGTTATTAGAGATACAACTTCATAACTGAAAAGTAAAAAAGAAATTGAATAGTACTCCAGTAGGAAACAAGTTCTTGCAGAGGAATCTACAATATATGTACAAGGAAATAGATATATTTTCTCGGTTACTACATACAAGAAGGTATTCAGAAAGAAAAATCTTGAGGCAGGTCCTACATGTAGGTTTCAGAATGTATTCATAAATTGACAATGGAAGAAAAAACAAAGAAAGAAATTGTTTACAATTTGAAATGCACAGACTTTGGGTAGGAAATTTTCTAAGTAAGATGGCCCCTTGTTATGCACTACTATTGAATAGAGTGAATAAGTACACACATACTATAAATAAACAAAAGCCCTTACAAAAATTCATCCTCACTACTACTGAAACTGAATGAAACAAAAGCAACATAAATATATATACTGATGATAAAACAGCCATTTTCAACTAAAAAATTCAGTGTGATAATGCAAAATAAAAAAAAATGACTTAGCAAATAAAAGGCAGCCAAAATGCATAATTAATGATTCTTAATTAAATTATATACAAGTATATAAACACAGATATGAAAAGTACAAATAACATGCCCCACATCAAAATGTTGCAAATTAATATTTTCTGGTCAGTTTATTCTGAATATAAAATGAGAACCATTGTACATTTGAAATGTTTCAAGCTAGAAGAAACATGCTTTATATGTAAAACAAAGATTTATGCAAGCATTTTTTTTTAAACATCAAAATTATCACTCTTATTCTTTAACCAAGAAAGAAAATTATAATTAATTTAGCTCAGGTCATTCTTAATTTTTTTATATACTAGATTTTTTTCAAAAAATAAATAAATAAATTACATCAGTTTGGGCCAGGAAATATTCTTTTTATATCAAACCAACCTGTCATGTTTGATCCAAGTCTCTAATCCACTTTCATCCTGTTCTTCCTCTACAATCTCGCCTTCAGAACCCTGTAATTTGTATAACTAATATTAATTTCTTCCTGTTGTAAAAAAATATTTAAGAATAAATCTATTATTAGGCCAAAGTTTTTATTTTTTTTGGTTTACGATTTTTTGACACAAAAATATGCGTTGGGCGGTTAAAAATAAAAATAATTTGGAACCTTGACATATTTTTCTCTTGAGTAGCATTGAAATGTATTCAAATGCCCTGTTACTGTTGATGGTTTTCATTCTTCTTACAAGTCTGAGTTTGCACTGGGACAAATATGGGTAAAATTAAGTGAATCTGCTATTCTCTGGTCAACCTTTCCACGTATGAAAAAGTTTTTGGAAACTCTCTCTGAAAGTCATGGACTGCTTTCACAACAAACTTTTACCTTAAGGTACGTGTGTCCATTAACCCAGACCCGAAATTTAAGGAGACATTTCTCCATCAAAGAAAGTTAGGGAGAAGTTTTGAAATTGAGGGAGACTTCTTGGCACACACAAATCATTATAAAACTATTTCATTGTTTATAGATTACAAACATTTCAATTAATTTTCTGTATAAACATTGTATTTAAAATGATTTAATAAGAGAAAAAGAATCTTAAAAGATATTTCCCGAAATTACAAGGTATATAAATATCTAGAAAAAAATTAATAAAACAACATTGACATTACATAAAATTTACAACTATGTGTACTACAATTGAAATGTAAAAGCTTCTTATCAGATTAATTGTTCATCAAACATTTTTTTTTTCATTTTTTATATAGTAGCACAACCTTAAACTTCTAAAATTTCTCTTCACATTAGATTGCCAGGCTTTTGGCATACTCATAATTTTGTTAATTTCTCTTCAAACTTTGTTTTCAATATAAAATTCAATTTTTAATAAAGGTTTTGATGCACATCTGCATGCTGATTGAACTACTTATGTTTATCGGATCCGATGTGTGACTTCTTAGGAAGTTAATAACTTCACAATTTAACAGTAAAAATATGTCTGTATTCACAGCATGAATTAATTATTTGACAATAAAAAGATCTAAAATCTTCTCCAACATCTTTAGCATGACATCGATAGCTGTCCAGCTGTTTTGCGTCTTGTTGTGTATAACTTGTAACGATGGACTTTTTCATACCCGGAAGTATAAAATCTAGAGGAGTTCCGACGGAGTATTCGATGCATTGGTCATTAGTACAGATACAGTCTGTAAGTGAGTCGCCCCCTAGGTTGGTCCTTGCGCTGTTCCGACATGTGGTTTGAAAATCTGTATTTGTGGAGGTCATTTGAATGTTTAAGATGTGTTGTAAATTCTAAAAACTGTCGTTTGGTCAAGAAAATTTCGGATTAAGAGTCCAGTTTCGAGAGTCAGACACATTATTTTTATTTTTGTAAATAGGGAAAAATAGGGTCGGCGGAATCGTAAACCAAGAGAAAAAAAAACTTTGGCCTTAATGAAATGCATATTGCTTTCAAGCAAAAACTCTTTCATATTATAGTTTTTCGCAATGTCTGCTTTCTTATTTTTGAGTGCTTTCCATATGGTGCAGTGGTTAGTTTGTTTGCACTAGGGTCACAGAGTAAGGAGTTGATCTTTAATAGGTTACAGGTTTGAATCCCACTGTGGGACATTAAGACCAGTCCTTTGAATGAGACTGTATAAAATGAGGTCCTGTGTCACAATAGTTGCTGGCATGATAAAGATCTCTCTCTGCTCAGAGGCATAAAGAGCCCAGTACAGGTCTAAATTTTCAGCCCTTCACCAAACAGTGGCATCTCAATACAAGTCAAAAATTCTCAAAGGCATGTTAAACAAAACATACTGATTTTAAGTAAATGTACCAAGTACCTTAATATTGCGTTTTGTAGGGGGTCGTCTGGCCCTGTTAGCAGCAGCGGCCAGTTGACCTTTGTCACGATTGGCTGAAGTGTCCAGTAGTGAGGTCTGAGGAACGGCGTCCCTAAAACTGTCCACTGAGGAACTGTCGTCATCTACACCATTCTCTGCAGAAAAAATAAAGTCTGTATTTAAATTAACAATTTCATACACATCAAAAAAACAATATTTTCTTTTTATAATATAAATCTTTTTTTTTCCTTCCAAAACTCCTTTAAATACACAAAGCATTTTTTATATCAAGCATAAATTATTCCTTTTTTCACTCTTTCATATCAAAGTTTCCTGTTTATTCATTTTATTGTCTCTCATATGAGTATTTACCTGTTCTGTTACTGGGTGATGCATCAGAACTGGATGATATTGATTCATTTAATGGAGAGGCTTCAACTTCTGAAATATATAACAGATATTGGTCAGAGATTCAAAACAAAACGTTCAAATATCAACTAATAGTTAATAAATGTAATATTTCAAAAACAGATCATTACATGCATTAGTTAACTATTTTTTGTTCTTACTTTGCATGAGTTTGGGTTGTATTGTTGGGGAGGGGAGGGGTTGCTGGCTGCTGGGGACCAGTACAGGTAGTCCTGCTACCTTCTGTACCTCCCCTAGCTCCTTCTCCAACTCAAAAATCTAAAACAGATCAAATTAAAGGTTAAGGCTACAAAGCAGAAATTTTATAATTTTCAAACTTCCATTCTGTTGGTCCAAAAATAATGTTTCTTAAAATTCAGAATATCTGGCATTGTTTCACATTATTACAAAACTGCTTTTTCTTTGCTAATTTTTAAAACTATGTCTTATTTTCTGTTAACTTATTTTTAGGTTTTTCAGTAGCAAAACAGAATAAATCCTTACTCTATCTTTGAGGGACTTGACTAAATCATCATATTGTTGATTTTTCTCTGCTTGCTGCTGTAAGAGGGATTCTCTTTCCTGAATAAAGTCCTTTTCCCTGTAAAATCATCATATACAGTGTAAAGTCAATTTAACTGTCACATCTTTACTATTTATAATTAAGTCGTTCCATCAAAATCATGCAAATAAGGCCATAATAAAAATATTCCTAGATTCTCATCCCCACCCGCCCCGATTTTATACCCCCGCCTCGATTTTTTTTTTAATTTCTGTTTTTCTTTGTGTTAATTTTTAAAACTATGTATTATATACCATTCTACTTTCGTTTTAAATCCCGCGAAAGTCGACATGATTTTGACAGTTGAAAAGATGGTAATATTGCTGTAATACATGCGTATATACTTTAAACAAGGGTCATTGGTTGAAAAAGATTGGTGATGATGTGAAGTAAGAGATAATTGAACCTTGACTATGACTTTTATTCAGGTATTGTAGATAAAATTACAACGATTGACCAGGTCAATAGAAAATCTGCAAAATTGAAAAAATAAAAAATATAAAATAAAAGCCGCCCGCCCGCCTCGATTTTTAAAAAAATTCGGATGAGAATCTAGCAATTTATTTATTATGGCCTAACCATTCATATACAGTCAAACCTCATTATCTCAAACCAAAGGGGACCAAGAAAAAACTTCAAGATAAACGATTCAAGATATTCATAGTTGGTACTTATTCATAGTATTCGATATATCCATGTTTGAGTTACCGAAGTTCAAATGTACAACAATTACAAATACTATTTCTTTTCCTTGTTTCACTTTCAGCTCACCTCTGTTGATAGTCTTTGATTAATTTCTTGGCCTTATGATACTTTTTCTCCAGACCTGCAAATTCTCCTTTCATTTTCCTCTCTAATGCAATATACTGTCCTTGAGATCCCTCCAGTAAATCCTATGAAAATAATCCAAATATGGAAATCATTATAAAGTTTACCCATGTTCTTAACAAAAGCCAATACACATTGAAGTGACTGAATTCAATCTTTAATGAAATGCAATTGAATCAACACTTAGAGCCAAGGAAGTTTTCATACTGGAAGAGTAAAACATAAAGTTGACAAGACGAGAAAATCTCTGAGAAAATGCCTGCTGTACCTGATAGTGGTTAATCTCTTTGCGATTACTTTCCAGTTTCTTCTCCATATCCCTCAGTCTGTGGGCCATCTGCTCACATTTCTTCTCCGTTTCTTTCTTCTGATTTTCTGCAGATTCCAGCATGATTATTTTTGCTTTCACTTTAGCCAGTTCTGCTTCAGTAACAGCATTCTTATACTGGGCCTAAGGAAAATAGAGAGTCATATGGTTAATGTTACCTCACAAATCATCTGACAATTGATCTTCAAAATGTTGGTTGATTACATCACAGAGTAAATACATTGATACTGTATACTTTTGAAAAAGGATTCTGAAATAAATCTATTTAATTTGAATTAAAGCTCATATATTTTTCTTGCTATTTAAGAGCAGACTAAAGTAAATGCAACATTGGCCTCTGAAAAATTCTACATGAGAGATAACCTTATTTTTTTTCCAAAATATAACTGTGAAATAAATTAAAACTTCTATTGAAAAAAATTGTATTAAACGACTTTGCAATATTCTCATATTCTATGAAACAAAAAAAAGATTAAAATCATTACATAGTGATGTTACAACATCTCACCTCTTTGAGTTTGATAAACAGTGCCTGAGACTCCATATCGGGAGATATGGACTCACTACTGCTCTCTTGTAGATCAAACACCTCCATCGCCGGCTTCTCCTCAGGGGACTCGGCGGGGCTCTCCCCCTCCAGGTCAGGGGGCATCATTAGGGGGGTGCTGTCCCCCGCCGCAGTCTCCATGACATCCATAGCTGAGCTATCCTGTTCTGAGTGATTGATTTGATTGTCTTCTTCTGTGTTCTCAGATTCATCAATGTCCTGCATTATAAGACAAATTTATAGCATCTATAGTATATACTATATCCAGAGGCCTAAGAGCAACTTTGCTCACCTAAGCAGAATAGCTGGGAAAATGCAGAAAGTTTATAGTATCTAAGCTTTACTCTTCACTATACAGATAACCATGCTGTGCCTCATGGCAAATTTTGTTCAATATGTTCAAAACTTAAAAACTGAGGCAAAGAGAATTCATAAAATGTCCGATTTGGGTTAATGTCAGGTTTTTGTTCAAAACCTAAAATCTGAGGCAGATACAATTCTTAGAATTTCTGAGCCTTTTTGGGCTTCTAAATTGTCAACAACTTAGAACAGACCTTGTCATCATCCACCACCTGATCTTCTTCATATTCCTCCTCCTCCTCCTCTTCCTCCTCATCCGTCTCGTCCAGTTCTCGCCCAGTCTCAGACACCCTCCTCATATGCTCGTGCTCCATGATCTCGTCTCGCGGGTGGAACTGCTCCTCCAGCTGACGATGGAGCTTCTCCTGTTCCATCTTCTTCATTTCCTCCCGCTTACGATCCTGTTCTAGGGATTGTTGGATCAGACGAGCCACTTCACTTCTACTGGGGTCTTTTTCCCTTCCAATCATAAATCTAAAATAAAGAAAATTAAATGATTAACCTTTAAAGTTCTTGTACACAGAGATTATATAATTGTATCATTAGCAACTCCTTTCTTTTGTAATGATGAATCACTTCAAATTCTATTTCAATGAATTTTACCTGGTAATTTAATTTAATTTAATACTATTTCACTATTATATAAAACATTTTAAGGAGTCAGTGACTTTTCTACACTCCTGTATGTTGGCAAGTCCCAATTCACACCCACCCCAAAAAAAACAATCTGAATGCCAGGTGCTTTAGACAACGATAGAATCAGATTTTGCTTTTGGAGAACATAGGGCTGATACATTGATGCTATAGACATCTTAGATACAGACTGATTCTAACATAACATCCTATACAAGATGTTCTGTTTTGTAAAGTTTTCCACAATGTTCTAGTTTTCCTTTTCAAAAGATAATGATTGTGAACAGAAAAAAATAATTATCAGATCTCAAGGGATGTAACAAATAATGAAGAGTTTTGTAGTGTATTACATAATGTAAACCCATAATTACAGTTCATTTTCTATCTGTTCATTGCAATCTTTCCAACATCTGCAGCTTCAGTTTTTGCATGAACATGATGAACACTTGATTAATCTGCCAGCTTTCCTCTATATATTTATATTGTTTGCAAAAACATTTCTTTCTTTTCTGTACCTGTGACTTTGTACAGTAGAGCAAATTATCTACAGTACTTGGCTATGCATAATTAGTGCAAAAAAAGTAGCCATGTGAAACTTACAAAATAATACCAGATTAAGAAGTATCTTTTTTAACTTATACATGTTGTATATAATATTATGCTTTTTTCTACTCATGTCTCTCACTTCCCAGAAATTACAATCTTCTGTTTTGCTTTTCATGCTTTGCTTTTTGAACATTCAGTCTTCGACATCAAAATGAAATGATATCTGCATTACTAATGTATGTAATACTTACTGCACTTTTCCACTGGTGTTCCTCAGTACGGAGGCAGCGTAGGCCTGTGTTACACCTACCAGACTCTTCCCATCCACCTCTATGATCTGGTCATTCACCTGAATTCTACAACAGCAAATGTATTCTGAAGTTAGATCAACATAAACAGAAAGGTCCGAAAAAAAAAAAATTCTTCAGCTCAGAAATAAGTATAGCTAGAAGCAAATATGTACATGCATTTATATGAACTTGAGCCAAGTTCCATTTGCTCCACTGGCAAAATATCACATAAATATTTTGCTTTGACCATATATTCTCTCTCTCTTAATCTCTCTCTCATATATCAAGAGGCTGCATGTTGACCCACTTTTTTAAACAAGAAAAGTACCTAATGAATCATAAATTTATATACCCTTTACTTCATCATAAGAATATAAATTATTACACAGTCCAGAGATACCACAGCTAGTACCTGCAGTTCAGTAGCGAAAAATCATTAACATCACTTCAAATGTACTTCTGTGAAAAAAAAACTTCAACATTTCTTTTTTTAACTTTAAGATAATATTAATAATTCCTCTAGATGCATGATCCTCTAGTGCATCTTTTAAAACATACTTTTTTAGTTAATTCTTTTTCTTACTTAATAAATCATTTTTACCCTTGCTCTTAATTTTGTAGTAAGATCCATTTAAATTTGTTCCCCATTTGCCCTATGTGAACTTATAATCAAGTTATAATCAACTGTCTGGGTGGTTTAAGACATACAGTAACTATTACCTGGAATGCATTTTGATAAGGTCTTTAAACATCTGCTCACAGAGAGAAATGATACTTTTCAATATATCTAAATCTACAGATAAGATCAACAATGGCACACGAGTTTATGTTATTTTTTATCTCGTCTACCTTGCACATAAACATCTTGAATCACTTCATTCATTCTTGTAACTAAAACCTCTTTTTTGAGGAAAAATGGGTGCATGCCTTCATGTATCTGAAATAGCAATTTTTATCATTCTCTCTAGTGTACCCCATAAACTCCAGAATTATCAAAAAGATGGATCAGTACTTTCTTCATTTTACACCCAAGCATTTATAAACCTTTACTGACTATCTTTTTTTTTCAATTTTGCAATTTGAAAATTTTTTTTTTTTTTTGCCTGTTAACATTATATTAGGACTTGAAACAATTTTGTTTGACAGTATAATTACATAATGACAATCAACATATTTTACCTGTGCCATGCTTATTCCCCAAAAAGTTCCTTAAACACCGATTTTACAAAAAAAAAAAAAAAATACAGACGTTTATGTTTAGGAAATATCACAAATATTCCAAGGAAATTTTTCCTTTAAACACTGTTCCTTCAAAATGGGCAATACTAGATGAAAGGAATATTCTCCTGAAGACCTGCCCAGAAAACATGTGGAACTTGTACATCCATATTTATCACATATGCTTGTAGTAGTCAGGAATGCCCTTACAATCAGACAGGAATATCTTGTCCTAGAGAATCATTAAGAAACTCACAAACAGATGGACTTCTTTATCCCCTAAGATTAACAGCTGTCTAAAAGATCCCTCTCAAAGACTAGAAGCCTCATTTTACAAGCCCCCCTTCTACATGAAGATGTTCTGTCAAAAATTTACAAGCACAAAAAAGAGGGAGAAAAAAAGAAGCATAAAAAAGCAAGATAAACAGTTTTTATTTTTTTTTTACTGCATTACCCAGCCCCTAGCAATTCCATTAACATTTGAGCCACTTTTCACATCAACAAATACACAGAATAATCTGCTTTATCACCGACTTTTACCCCCTAACACACTCTCTCCTCCTCAGAAAAAGGGTGGATAAATTAAAAGAAAAAAGCTACTAAATCATTTCCATTTGCAAAGAGAAACATTTATAAACATTTTTCTTTAGCAGGGCTCTTAAACTTTCCAATACCTGGATACTTTAAATTCTTGAAGAAATCACCTAAAATATGCTGAATATTTTGGATTGCCGTACAGAAATAGAACATCCTGACAATTTGCTGCCTGCAGATTCTAAGAATAGATAAAACCAAAAATATGTTCTAATTACCCAATATAGCTGCCCAAATACTTGAGTTGATTTATTTTACTATAAAATCACTCATTTTACTTCTACAGCTTAAATAACACGGTCTAAATTGGAAAACTGTGCTTACTTACAGAGGAAATAAAATGTTCATAATTCAGCATTGCAGGCATGAAATATGGGTCACTAAAGTCAGATGGCTGATGGGCATACAGACAGCTTCACTGATAAGTTTAACACTGTTAACACTGTCTAGAACAAGATGTTGTCTGGGCTTGATTAACCTACTTCTGACCACAGTCAGATGCTGTAAAATTTGATTGATTTATAACTAGAACTTTGAGATTGAAAGGGGGGGGGGGTGTAAATAGTGTAAGTCATTCTAAATTTACAAAAAAAAGGGGGGGGGTGGGAAGGTGTGCAAATAAAAATCATTTATCCTTACTTTTAATAATACACAGAGGAGTGTTTTTATATACTTGATAATAAAAAATGATAAGGTTAAACACAAAAAATAGATATTTTCTCAGCATGCCTACATGTATAGGCCTATATGAACCAACATCAAAGGATAATCTGACAAGATGAACAGATTGAGTTGTAGCCCTGCAAGAAATTTTGTTATGCTCTACTGCTATCAAAAATTTATTTTTTATCTGATCAAGATGCCATTGCTTCATTCTGTCTATTTATCAGAATGTCTTAAATGTATCAGATTCTTAAACGTAAAAGAAGAACTTGACTAGACTCTTAAAATGAATCGTTAGTTATACGTCATGCTGAGATCACACACACATTGTTACATAATGAATACAAAGACGGAATGCAGTCAAGTAAAAACATGTCTATTGTACACTGCGTATCTCTCCACAAACTCCAATTTTCTCTCATCAAAGAAATATCCCAAATACCGGAACATTCAATGAACATTATGAGAATTATGCAGGTAATCTGCTCAGCCTCTGTGCAATAAAATGTTACAGTGAAGGTCAAGGCCATGACATAGTTTTTCTTCTAGTGTAACAAATCCAGGTCAAGGTCATGACATAGTTTTTTTTTTCTAGTGTAGCAGACCCCCATCAAGGCCATAACATAGGTTTTTTATTCTAGTGTAACGGTGAAGGTCAAGGCAAGGAAATAGTTTTTCTAGTCTAACAGATTCAGGTCAAAAGTCATGACCTAGTTTTTAAAGTATAACTGCTTCCTACCTTGTGTCCCTCTGAGCAGCTCCTCCTTCTGTCAGGGTCTTTATAAATATTCCTAGTTTCTCTAACCCTGCATCAGCACCTACTCCCATACCAATGATACTGAGGCCTAATCCCTCAGGACCTGTAAAGATACAGTCACACTGTAATTCTTCAACATCAGTGCCTAATACTTTCAGCTGGTTAAGATCATATTAATTTCAATCATGTGTAGTTATTCCTAATGTTACACATTGTTAAGCATGACCAAAATTACAAGGCTAAAAGGAAGTATATTTGATCTTTTTCCTTAGTTCACACACTAACAATTCATCTGATAAAAGTGTCATTTTATGGATCACCATATCACTATAGCTTACAGAGCTCATTTGAAGCTCATACCTTAAAAAGAATTTATAAGCATGGGGACACATTTTTTTTGTTGTTGCGAAAATCACATTTTATGCTGAAAATATATTCTCTTGCAAATACTTTCAATTTTGATAAATATGCATTTTCAATCATTCTACATTTTTCTTAATTTCATTCTGCCAGAAAATTTAAACAGACATTCATGTTATTCTAATTATTTCCCCCACCTGGATGGGAAACAAACACTCTCCCTATACATGTATTGTGTAAATTATTTGATCAAACACACAATGCCTTTTGAAGTTTCCTTTAGTGAATCTTTAACTTGGTGAATGATCTTGATTAACATGATTAACACCTTCAGAGAACATCATGGATACTGTAATAGGTCAACATTTCTTTTTTCTTAATGAGTCTGCTCTAACAACATTTAGGACAAAATCTGGAATTTAATCACTTCCTACACTTAAATGTTAAACTTTTAATGTTAGTCTGACATATATTTAAGGTGTTACATTACTAATGCTTACAGTCTAACTTTCCTTTTTTATATTCAGCACATGCAATAAATTCTATCACAAATGAAAATTTTGAGAATTATAATTTATCATCAACTTAAAGTTATCATCATAAGCTCAGCAATATTTCATTGAAGTATAAACCTAGTACACACCTTTGATAAGATCGACTGGAAATACATCCATTTTCTCGACTCTTTTCTCTAATTCATATTCCGCTGAGGCTGCTACTGGGTCAACATCCTCATTTCTTCTATCATACTCATCAGTAGAGAAGGTGTGAAAAAGCTGTAGAAGATGAAATAGTATTTAAAATCGTCAGAATTTCCGCAGTTATCTCATTTTACAAATTTGAAAACACTCTTAATAGTAATTTGAATCAACATGAAACAAAAGGTATTTGAAAAATATATAACACATGGATTCAAGCTAGCTAATTATCTGAGAAAATTTTTACCACAAAAGCCAATAATGGGTAACACAATTTAACAACCCCTTATTTCAATATTTTTAAGTCTAACCACATCACTGAGCTTTCTCAGCCTAACATATTCTCAGCAACTCTATGAAATTTACCTTGTACTGTAACACTGCATGGTGTTTGAACATTTATTTTTACCCTGATGAAACTGCCTTTGTATTTTAACCCTGATTTACTCTTAATTTTTTAGCCCTTCTATTTCTTAAACAAGTTTAAACTCAAAATTCTTTGTATGACAGGTGCTTTCCCATGAACTGAGAGCTGTGAAGGAGGCTTATATAATCCACTGTACCATTATCTCATATTTAACCATGTATTTTATCCAGGTTTCTTTACCCTGATGTTTTATCTTGTATTATAACCCTGGTGTTTCATCCTGCATTTTTATTTTAATTTAGTGTTTTACTCTATATTTTAAGTTAGTGTTTTACTCTATATTTTAATCCAGTGTTTTACTCTATATTTTAATTTAGTGTTTTACTCTGTATTTTAATTTAGTGTTTTACTCTGTATTTTTACCCTGATTTTAACTGTTCCTTGTATTTTAACACCGGTGCTTTACCTTGATGGGGGCCTTGCTGAACCTGACTTTAGTTGTTTTCTTGTAGTTCTGTTCTTCATCGGATGATTCATCTGTGCTGTCCAGACCCTCTATCTCTATGAAGTCATGTGAGACACAGACATAGTCATGGAATTCTGAAAAACCATGGAAACAAAGCTGGCATTAAAAATATTTCGTGAAAGTGCCGAGTTGTTAAGATATTGTGTAAAATTTCATACTGCTTTGTTCATTTAAAAAATTTGGTATATGAAAAAGAAAATTTTTCCATAGCTTTCCAGCTTCATGAATACACACCATACAGCCAAAGCATCCTTGTTAAGTTTGTAATATCAATTTACATGTATGTTAATTAAGACTAAATACTGATAAATTAACTGTAGACATGTACATGCTGTTGAACTATAAACTGCATGATATTGTAGAACAAAGTACAAATTCATATGCAGAGCCATCAAAGAATTCAAATAGTCATCACAGATTAAACTTGATCTAGTTTTATTGGATCCCCCAATTTCCCAGTTCCTTTCCTGAACACATGCTACACATGGCAAACTCTGACCTTGGCCAGTTTTACAATGTTTACTGTATAGGTAAATGCCCCGGCTCAATAACAATACTGAATAACCCTAAACATTTATAGCTTACACATAAAACTGAGGCTTTTAACACCTTGGTCCCCCCAGCAAGAGAACACTGAATATTATGACATAGTACTTGACAAATACATTAAAATTTAAACGTTTGACATTTTTCACTGACCAACTAAAATCATAATTTTTTTTAAATACTGACCAGCATGGCTGTCTGAGTGGACTGTGTCCGGTTCCTCATGCCCATCCCCTGCCTCTCTCGGGGGAATCTCGGTCTTGGCATCAGAGTACACCCCACTCCTAGAGCTGTCAATAAAGTAAAAGAACAATGTAAAATTACAACTCTTCACTAAAAGAGGGTTCATCTTTAATATTATTCTATCATCCTTATTTTGTTATTATTAATTTTTGAAATCAAATTTCTACAAGTAATCGGGTACAATGCTTGAATAATGTCCTCGAGAAAACAACATAAATACCGGTATAATATATCACACGTATAAATATGTGAATCATTTTAAAAAGATAACAATTCATTCAAAAGCAATGTGTATCAAACATACTCTGAAAGAATTTTCCATGCTTACTTACTTATGACAAAATAGAAAGGCATTAACCGTAACTCTACATTTAGAAAAATATAATTTATAAATACTTTATATATGTGAATAAAAATACACAGAAAAAAATACAAATAGATCAGATGGATCAAATGAGTACTTTAACAGCATTTTCCTAAATTTTTTGCAGGATATATTGCTATTGGAAAGAAAACAATAAAACTTACTTTCGCCTTTTTTCCTGGATATGAAGTAAAGTTAATCTAGTTGGTTTATCAATAATAATCATAATTTTTTTCCGATACATTTATCACTAGATAACATTTCCTCATTACACCATGTTAACACAAACGATCCCTAAGCCACAACACAGCAATGAACTTTTGAACATGAATTTCAAGCACTTATGAATGAAACAGCGACTGAAATTTGGATACAATGTAACTCTGGCTGCCTGCAATTGGTTCACATCTGTCTTCAATATATACAATGGGAAGGCGTATTGTTTTCACAAAAAAAAATTCTCCATGAAAGCTGCTCTTCTCAAAATTCTTATACAACAGTGACATCAACTTCCTTATAATACGTAAATATACACCAAAGCTTTTGTAATTTATGTGCAAGTGAAAAACTATTTACATTAATAAACAAAAATAATACATCTGAAATGATTATATACTCCTTAGATAAAAGAGCGATAAGCCAAATTCATAGAACTAGAGCTTAAGAGTCTGGAAGCCAAAAATTGACAAGGATAAATGCACAATCCAGCAAACTCCCTGTCTACTGCACTGAGAGAATTGACTGATAAGCTTTTCAATTTCGTAGGTGTACATTTATCACCTTGGAACAAAGTAAAGGTTATCCCATTACCAGGGAAACTGATTAGCCACGAACACTAAATATGACCCATGTGTTTACTCTGAAGTTTCTTACAGCCCTTAATTGCTCCAATAAACTTTTAACTTTCTATATTTTGAATGAAGGAAGTACCTTTTCGAGTGCCTCAATCTGGGACCATTAATCACTAATTAACAATCAAGTGCATAACAAATGCTCAAGTACCAGCTAACACCTACAGCAGTTTTAATTTGATTATTTCCCAGAACTTTTGTATTTGTTCAGAGTGTTCCTTTATGAGACAGGTACAAACATACAAGCCATACTGTGTGACGTAGATTTCTGCATGGAAAAAGTATAACTCCCTGTATTAAACAATTTTTTTTTAAAGTCAATTAAAGCATTCTTTAAAAAATTATTATTAAATCCCCAATAGACTAACCAATTATTAATGTTTCTTTCTTTAGTATATTTCTTTTGACCTAAACAACTATGTTTTACCCTCCAATAACAAAATAATATCCCCTTTTTCATTTCTGTTTCTATTTTCACTAATTACTTTTTTGTGTAACAAGTGTATAAACAAAATAAAAAAAATGTAACATCATTAATGCCTTGTCATAGACTAAGTTATGAAAATATGTATCAGCATGGAAATGCCATGGAAAAAAAGAAAACTATCTATAAACACTTATATTTTCAATTTTACATGACTAAAAAATTTCGAAAATTGCATTAACAGTCTTCTCTTCTCAGACATCTTATCTTTGCGATGCCATGTTTGCACTTTATCAATAGGAACAATGATTGTTTATAGTTTAACAGTAAATGAGGAAAAAACTAGGGAATGTAAATTAGTAATCATATCCCTAAATCCTGTACCAAATTATAGACATACATATGAAAAAAAAATATAATTTAAATCTGTAGTATTTAATTATGTCGGTGGGGAAATAAAAAAAACCTGTCAGCTTTGGTGCCAAGCGTCTACTACTACAGTAACTGCATTTGTACTGCCTGTAAAAAGTAGTTGCCCTTGTACATGCAGTTTAAAATTTGTTGTGGAAGTAGTAAAAGAGTAATATGTTAGAAACATTTTACATATTGTAATATTTTGAAATATAAAGTGAAAAATAAAGAAACCATGCACTTTTTTGTGCCTGTCAATAGTATAAATAGATATACATTTTTTCAATGCCAGGCACTGTAGCTTTCTGGTTGTCCATCCCATTCTTTTTTTTTTAGACCAGTGAGCTACAAATCTGCAGCTATCTTTATTGTGATTGTGTGATTGTCAAAGTGAATGTCAAACTGAATGTGTATAGATAAAACAGAAAAGTGATTGAAATTTTACATTTTATGATTTCAGCTCTGTTGTAATACTTTTATTACATGACAAAGCTTTACCTAAACTGACTGCTAGATATTTAACAAGTGATTTTTTCAAACAATGAAATCTTGCTATCCATTATAAACATATTTTGACCACAAGAATGTAGATCGAAATTTCAGCATAAAATTTGTACAAATGACAGATTTTCCATGAACTCTTTGATTAAATCTCTTTATGCTTTTAATATTACAAGACAAAAACAAAAACTTGATTCAATAGTATTTCTTAAAGATTAACAAGTTGAATTTTTGTTATCCATTAAAAGAGAATTTTTACCACAACAAGGTAATTTTAGTATAAAATCTGTACAATTTACGACAGATTTTCTGTCAAGTTTGGCACCTATGCTGACAATTTAGTGTGTCTGTCACTGTCAGGTATAATATAAGATTATTATACCTCTACTGATTTTTCCCTATATAAAAATTAGATAGTAAAATGTGAAAAATTCCATAGAAATCACTGTGAACTGACTAATCTCTGTGCGTTAGTCAAATAAGCTATTCCCTGCTTCAGAAGCTAATTTGGAGTTATCCGTAATCCTCTAGATTTTACTTTTGTATCTGTATAATATGTTATTGGACTAATTCCTGTGCATTAGTCAAGTGAGCTAATCTCCGCTCTGAAAGCTAATTTCCTGTCATTCATAGTCCTCTATTTTTTTTTACTTTTGTATCGGTATAATGAAACAGTTAAAAAGTATATCATTGAGGGAGTTAGCAAGATTCAAGTTCCCCTCAACCGTGACTATTTCCCTTGGCTGTGCCTCGGGAAATAGTCCTGGCCTTGGGGAACTAGAATCTTGCAAACTCTATCAATGATATATTTTAACTGTACAGTGTTTTCCCTAAGAACCGGCTACCGGCCAAATTGACCGCTTCAAATGACAAAAATGCCACTTTGAAATAAAAATTTGTTGTAAGGTCCACAGAGTTTCTGTGTATAAACCTCAGCCCCTGGCCCGTTACAATTGATCTCTAACCCTTTACTTTAAGATAAAGGGAAAACACTGACTGTATACTATTTATTACTTACCCTGTTCTTGTATATTTGTCAGAGTCTTCTGTCACCACATCTGTGGGATGCTTCTTTACTGGCGGCGTGGACTCCCCGTTCCGCGATTCCTGGTAGTTCTCATCATTAACGTAAGTAGAGGATTTCACATTCTCGTAGTGATGCGAGGCAGGAAGCTGGTCTACCATGGAAGGCAGGGTAGTGGAATAGTTACCCGAACTGGGCGGAGACACGTGGCTCTGATATGGTGGGGGTGGGGGGTTAGGATAAGGGGGTGGGGGTGGCAAGTGGCACTTTGGAATCACAGGTTCATAGAGATCTGAGTCACTGTCAACTCCTTTGTTGGATATCACAGAAGATGGTGAGTGGGCAGCCTGAGAAGACTCCTTTGGCACAATCTCTTCTTCAATGTCTTTTGGCGATGTAGTCCTCTGGTCTCTTTCTGAGTGATAATGTGAAGTGGATTCGAGCATACCTGATTTTGAACTGGTGACATTTTGGTAAGGCCTTTCACTTTCATTGTCAATTACATGTGGTGCACTGTCATTAGAATTCACACTTTTAAAATCCAGCTTTGCTTCACTAATGACCCTTTTCTCAACACTTTCATTGAGGGGGGATGATTTTAAAGAATCACTCTTCCTTTGATCCATAAACTCATTTACTATATCACTAGTAGGGGAGAGAGATGGTGGATGGGTAGTTTTAGTGGGTGATGGAGGAGTCCTGTTAGGGGGTGGGGGTGCTGTTCGTTTGGGGACAGGGGACTGTCTTCGGGCTGGCGCACTACTCACAACAGAGGAATCACTACTAGATCCAGTGTTCAAAACTATATTAGGCTTACTGGGTATGGGAGGTTTAGTTCCTGGAATTTGTCTGGTGGGCGATGTAACACTCTTTTTATCTCCTACTAAGGAGGGTTTTCCCTCATCAACATATTCTGACTTTATCTCTTTTTTAGATTCTGAACTTATAGATGATTCATTACTTCTGTTTTCTAAACAGTCCATTGAACGAGACAACTTCTGATTTTTGCTTTTGGTCCAGCCATAAAGACTTCCTTCTGAAATATCGGACATTTGTTCTCTCAGTTCCCATGAACGTCTTTTTGATTGAAAATCATTGTTTGTCTCCGATTTGTGGGATAAGTAGGAGTCGGCTCTGTTAATGGCGGCCTGAATTTCTTCTTTACTTAACCGTTTGGCACTGTCCTTCCTTCCATCACTATCAAACCTCTTTTGTCTCATGACAACACTTTCAGAAGGTTTATAGTTTCGGGGTAACGTCACAGGCCTTTCTCCATCATAAGAATGCTGAGCAGTGCCTGCTGCTTCTAGGGAATCTGATCTGGATCTCAGGGTGGCAGGTTCATTCACTTCTTGCTTGGAACTGTTGGATAACAAATTTTCATCGGACTGGATTTTCCTTGCACCCAGTCCCCTTGATGATATTGAATGATCATATCCCCGATGTAGAATGCTTCCCAACTCTCCATTCTGTTTTCCCAATGAATCTTCTTTTCTGGCAATATCTGGATTAGCTCTACTTTCATACTGTCTTCGCTTCCAAAGGAGTCCTCCAGCCATGTTACTAAATGCATGTGAGCTCTTATGTTCAAACTTAGATTTACCCCCTGTGCTGCCTGAATCCATAGCCTGGTCCTTATCCATTCTCTCTATTGCATCTTTGGACGGGGCCTTTTTTGTATGGTCTGGAGATAGGGCTGGGGACAATGGACCTGAAGCAGAGGAGGACAATTTTCGTGGTCGGGTTAATTGAACAGGTTCCACAGGGGCTCTATTTTTTTCTTCCATTTTTGCAAACAGAGCTCTAGTATACATGAATCTCTGTACATGATTTGCAGCATCGTGCAGGTTGGGCTGACTGTTTTCTGTCTGCACATTTCCGGTAGACTGTATATCACATGTCTTTTTCCTCTTGATCTCTGGCGAGCGGTCGCCCTCTGATGTCACGGCCCTGCTGGCAGACAGGGACCTGGCCTCCTCAGGTTTTCTGGGCCCTTGCTGAAATTTTTCTTTCATCCTGCTTACATTGGACCCATACAACAATCTACCTCTTAGTGCAGAGTCTCCTACTGTGTTACCCTCCATGTTGGAAGAATTCAGTGAAGATGTTCTGGATGACACTGGGCTTTCTTTCTGAGATCCTTCATCGGAGAAAGCACTTCCACTGCGAACACGGCTTCCTGCTAGTATTTCTGCTCTGGGACTTTTATATGATGTCATGGTAAGTCATCTTTATGAGGAGGACAGTTTATATCACAGAGTGCTCACAAATCTCATACACGTATGGAGAACCCCTTTGTCCGGGGTATCTGTCATCCAGACTGGAATGTCTTTACCCATTACATTTTTGGAACCTTTAATAAAAAAACAACAGAACAATGAATATTGAGCAAATCGTTTAACTGAATCAGATATTGTTATTTCTGATTATGAATAATAATAGATTTAGACTGAATACACTTACTTAGTACTTATAATTTATCAAAAATAATTTATAAGCTACATGTACAAGATTATTCCAATTACCTTTAATAGGCATTCACTTATTAATAAAAAAGAAAACAAAGTGTGAAAATTTTTCACCATTCTTTAAAATCATTCAATAGCACATTCACTTCAACTCATAATTTTTATTTCCTCCATAATAAATTAATATACCAAACAGGTTCAAGTACAATTAATAAGGCCATAAGGGGTGTGTAATATTGCATACACATCAATTAATACAGAAAATTGTAGTATTTGAAAACCAAACACAAAATATTGTGATATTTTTTCCCCATATTGTAGTATTCTCAGTGTGCTAGCAAAAGTTTTACAATGAGTAAAGAACAATACTGTGTCTGGATTCAACACTATGCTACATTGAAATTTTCCTGTTTTAGATACTATTGCAGTGTTTTAAAGATAACAATGAAGGGAGACTTAAGATTTATTTATTTTGTTTTTCACTATACATGTATCATGTATATAATATCTAAATAGTTTATAAATTTTTGTTTCCTTTCTTTTTTCTTTTGAAGTTTTTAAAAACATTCTGAAAAAATAAACTAATCTGGGTTGATCTGTTGATGAAGACTGTCCTTATACTTCTTTTTAATAAAATTAATAAACAATGCATTTTTGACAAGTCAAATAAAACTTTAAGAGAAATGGACAAGCTCCCAATAAATTGGGCCAAAGATAAAAAATGATTTGTCTGATGTACTCCAACCAACCCATGAAAACTGCCCCTACCCAATCATTTTTTTCAGCACTTTAAATATTTAATTTTTTTATATTAGAAATAGAGATTGTTTCATTTTGAAGCTAAGGTATATAATTTCTACTGGATGCTTTTAGATTGAAAATTTTCATAGCAATAAATATTAAATCTATAGGTTACCCAATTGTATTGAAAACATGAATAAATTTCTGAGTTTGTGATTTTTTATGATAGTAATGAATTTGATCAATACTGTTAAGCAAAAAAAAAAAAAAAACTACCTACCTACCTACCCACCTTGAAAAATGTGGGTCAGAGTACATCAAACAAAAATATTTTTAATGATGGCCTTGTCATTCTTATCATAATATGCCATCAAATATATCATTTTAATATAACAATTCTTCTAATGTAGCTATAACCACCTAACATAACAATATAAAGGCATTCCAATTCTCACTTAATGCACCTGCATGCTCTCTTTTAATATTAGAGTGCAAGGTCACAATTTGATGGCATTTTAAATATTGATCATCATAAGTACTACATGTAAATAAAACCAAATATCATGAATGAAAGTTTGGCGTTAAAGTTGACAAGATTTTCTATTTAACATGCAAGTCATCGATTTTTATGATAATAAGTTTATCATATCAGATACGTTAAACATTCCAAACATTTTTAAAATGATTGCCAAAGAAATTGGGGAAATGGGATGGGACATCTGACTCATAAAAAGTAAAAATCATTAAAATGCAGTGGGTTAACACTACCATTTTTCTTCTGTCATTGGTCTATTGGTGAAGGGGGGGTTAGAGTTAGACACACCAAAATGATCTGTTTGAGTGAAGACGAAAGGTAGTACATTACATTCACTGAAAGCTATAGAGAATTTAAAACAGTTCGCCCTCTATCAACTGATAACTGAAACTTATCTGTTTAATCTTATCCAATTTAAATAACCTGGTAATGTTAAATGTGACTTTTAAGTTTTCCAATAGGAACCACTGACTGGCAGAAGAAAATGGTTTTGCACAAAATTTCCAATTTTGACGAAGTCGTACATTTACACAAAATAGTAAAGAAAATCCATCAATATATATCTGCGACACAACCATTATCTTATGTAATTTATCTTAAGAACCCGAATACAAAAGCCAAAATATTCTACTAATCCCTGCTGAGAAGTCGAGAAACCTGCTCGGCGCACCCGAAACTTACACCTTCCCCAGTTTTCATTCTTAGGAAGTTTATGCGCAAAATAGATTAAAATCAATATTTTTTTATTTATCTATCAAAGAGATGTCAATAAATAAATTAAAACTTAGCATCTAAGCAACTTAAAATGAAGAAAACAACACACACCCTCTCCACTTCGTTGACATAGGCCGACATCTTGAATATGTAACCTTTGACACAGAAGATCCCGGATGATAACATAATATCTAAACTATTTTAGATGTTTGTTTCCGGAAGTCGTCTATGTTATCCCTCGGGACATTGAACTTACATGAATAATTTTCCTTCCAATTAAATTTGAAAGAGCGGAAATGGCTTTAACTTACTTGCATTACAAGTTAAATTATCTTTTGTCATCTTTCAAAACAGGTTTTTTGGTGATTATTTTTAAAATATTTAACATGATGGCAAATATTGATAGTGCATTTACCCTGACCGATGTCCATACTGATATAATATTGGGTTATAATTTCAACACCTTTTAAAGCGAATGGTTAAAAAATAAAAACAACAGAAAAAAAAATATATTTATATATATATATAAATAATTATATTGACAGGGACCTATATACTTTTTGGGTCCATTGGCGTCGGAAGCAATGAAAGTTAGGGGCTAAGTGAAAGAGAAAAAAAAATTCAAACATATAAAAAAAAAAAAAATATACTTTTTGGGTCCATTGGCGTCGGAAGCAATGAAAGTTAGGGGCAAAAAAAACAAAAAAAAAAACAAAAAAAAAAAAAGAAAAACTTGACATTTAAGCAAAAAAAAAAAAAAAAAAAGGAAAATGTGTCCATTATGGAATTCCATATACGATAGCCAACTGCTTACTGCCAACTACTTACTGCTAACTGCCACACATATTTGAATAAGTTTTCATATTTACTTTGATATTTATGTGAATTGTCAAAAAAAAAAAAAAAAAAAAAAAAAAAGGGGGGGGGGTGGATGCAGGATTTTTTCCAAGACGGATCCACGCCAGTAAAAATAAATCCAACTCTGAAATTTCTTGACCAAAAAATAACGTAAACTCCTTTCTTAAACGTGAAAAATTATTTTGGCGGGGGGTGGGGGTGTATGCTTCATATCTTCATATCTATGACTTTTCATACAAATTAACTTAATATGGATTAGCGTTTTCGGGGGTGGGTGGGCTCCAAGGTCAGTTTTAGTTGGTTTAGTTTATACATAAAATGACTGTTAAAATTATAAATGGGTGGTGCGCCCTCCCCCCTTAGATCTGTGTATTTGAAGCGTTATAACAGCTGTTATAACACAAAGACATAAAACATTAATTCTCGATTCCCGTCCACATTTTCCATGTTTAAAAACTTGTTTGAATGCAAAGAAAAATTTGTTAGTATTAAGTACATTGACAAAAAGTTAATAGCTCTTATGTACAACTCCTTTCATAAGGGGGTAGAAAATTTTATCATTTGAAATCAGACTGAACATATCATCAGATTAATTTATCATTTTCAAATACTAATGAAAATGAATAAACGACCTTTTGTTTTAATTAATGTAAAATTCAACATATGAGATTGTTAAAGTTTTTTTTTATTTGTTATCTTATAAAATGACTATTTTCCTGTTTTTAATCTCTATCCTCCCCCCCCCCCCCCCAATGAAACAACAAAACCTAGGATAAAAACTGAAAAAAGGGATTTGTTGTTGTTTCACAGGGAGATATCATCCAGACGGACTTTTAAAGACATGTTAATATCTATCGGTTAAGGCATGTCTTGACAATCAATGCTAGATTATGTCAAAAAATCTTCTCTCGTGTCCCACCGGGCCATTTCAATTTTCCGTCCATTTCTATAGTGAACATTTGAACATTTTTCTCAAAGATTTATTTCTCTTTGTTTTTACAAAATAAGTTATGTTTTATATGCACATATCTTTTGAGAGGGGAGGGGGAGTGGGGTTCCAGACCACCCCTTTGAAATTTGTAAAGGTATTTAATGTACAAACTAAACCAACTGAAATTTATATAATGCATAAACTAAACCAACTAAAAGGGACCTTGGAACCCCCCCCCCCCAAAAAAAAAACAAAAAAACAAAAAAAAAAAAAAGCGGATCCGTGTTTAGTTGATATAAAAAATCTCATAGACATAAAGCATAAGAAGTCCCCCCCCCCCCCCCCCCCCCGCCAAAATAATTTTTCAGGTTTGGGAAATGAGTTTACTTTTTTTATCTTGTCAAGAACTTTCTGGGTTGGTTTTTTTTTTTACCTGGGTGACCCTCTTGGAAAAAAAATTCCTGGATCCGCGCCTGTTTTTTGACAATTCACATGAATATCAAAATAAATAAATATGAAAAGAACGAGGGCGCTTTTGATTGGCATTCGGCAGGAATCTGGGCGTAATTGAAAAGTGAAAATTTTATCGACATGTCACATGAAATTTTAACATTTTTTTTATTTATATGGCATTCCATATTATCGGGTTCATGTGCAACAGGAAAGGAAAATATTTTCCCGAAATTGAGCTTTGATTTGCTAAAAAAATTGGCCAAATCAGACATTTGGCACGAAATGGTACATATTTAAACACGCTTTTCTAAAATTTTTCTATCTCTGGGTCTTCTCTCCATGATTTTTAAACATTGTTTGTGTGTATTTTAATTCAAAGAAACGAATACACATTTTTAAAAAATGGAGAGAAGACCCAGAGACCACAAAAAATGAACTTTTCCCAAAAAAAATCCAAATGTGTAAATGTGGTGCTTCTTTGTCCTTTTAAAATCATATATATGTGTGTAGCGGTGATAGCTCAGTAAGTTAGGCTACCTGTTCAAAAAGATAAAAAAAAAAAAAAAAAGGCTACCTGTTCAGTTCACTCGTAGCGAAAACTTTTTGGTTCGAGCCTGGCATGGGGCGTTAATTTTTTTTTTTTCATGCAAACAACCATTAATTTTTTTAATTAACACATACACTAACATCTTATATAAATAATCTTTGTTTTAATATTTGAATTTATAGTATGTAATCATAATAATTTCATGGGTAGGGGTGTATTCAAACAGTCAAAAATAAATAAATAATTGAAAAACCTTTTTACTACTAATTTAAAAATTTTCTCAAAATCCCCAACACAGGTAAAGACAGTGACACGTTTGTGTAGGCCCACCTATACATCAGTATCTTAGAACAATAATGATCCAGAGTATTTTATAAAATTCATAGTTTCTCTTTGTTAATTATATTAATTATTAATTTAACAATTCAAAATTTTGTTTAAAAATCAAAGTATAACTTTTTTAAAATTTATCATTTATTTTTTTTAATTTCATTTTAGGGTACAAAAATCTTTTTTCAGTGGTTGAGGATGGGTTGGGATATGGAAAATATTCAACTTTTTATTCCAACCCATTTTTAGAATACATTTCAAAATTGCCATGATTTTACAATGCGGTAGGGGAGGAGGCAACCAGCCTTTAAATGAATGGTTTCAATAGTGAAATGTTATTTGGGGGAAAGTTGGTAAATGGGGGGGGGGGGTCCATTCTATGTGCCTGAATAGGTAGGAAAATGTTCAAAATAAAGTTTTTAAATTTAAGATTGATTGTTTGTAAGTACATGCATGTGTAGTTAATTACACCCCATAAGGCAATTTTTTTTTACTCATATGAAGACATCAACATATAGGCATATAATGATACCATATTGAAGGCCGGGCTCTTTTAGACCTATATGCAGGGCCATTGAGCTGTGAGTGTTTTATTAAAGTATCAGTCACATTGTCCAGTGATGGGGTATACGATGAGAAACCGATGCGTTTTTTTGAAAATAGCGTGGTTGCCAACCGGACAGCTATAATAATCGGACGGTGACTGAGGCCATTGGGCGAACTGGTGGGGTCATCGGTAGAAAATAAGTTTGTTTCAAATATACACACCCTATCATGTGTGTCATTCAAAAATAATCAACAATTGTTTTTTTGACAATAAGGTCAAATATGAAGGGCAAAGGGTAAAAAAAAAATCATAGCATTCTTGGAAACATATCTTGTTACAAGTAATGCACATGCATCACAGGCACTTGTTTCGTATACGGGGTACCCCCTACCCCGCATACGAAACAAGTGCCTGTGACATGCATGTCAAGAATAAAAAGTCCTATTTCTTGTCAATCAAATATTAATAAGACAGGGTCTCAATTCATTATATTTAGAAAGGTCAAGTGTCACAGGTAATATGTATTAAGAAAGGTCTTGTCGTAGGTGATATACATATTTAATACAAAAGCCTCATCTTTTCTCCTTCTAAAGTTGTGACAATTTAAAATAAAGTTAATTGTTTTAAAGTAGGTCAAACGTCAAGGTCACAAGGGTCAAAAGCCATAGTGTTTTTGGAAAAGGTCTTGTCACAGATTATGAACATGTGAAATATGAAAGCCATGTTTTTTATTTAAAAGTTATGGACAGTGTTCAAGTTTTTTGGGACAGATGGACAGACTGACAGACAAATGAAATCTTCTCTCGCTTTCGCGAAAGCGGGGGACAAGACACAATCAAATTCATTTCTGGGATTCCCCACTTTCGGTTTCTTAGTGAATGGGATGTCATCATTTAATTAATATTTATGGAATATTGTGTCAAATATTAACGCTATATCATATGTCATTCAAAAGTAATCAGCATCGTTAAAATTTTTGAATTAGATTAAATATGAGGTTAAGGCGTAAAATATCTTAGCAAGTTCGGAAACTTCTTGTCACACGTAATTCATATTCAAATATGAAAGCCCCATCTCTTCTCAATCAAAAGTTATAAAGAAAGATAACATTTTTGAAAGGTAGGTCAAAATTCAAAGTTCAAGTTTTTTTCTGGACAAACGGACACACTGACAAATAAATGACAATGGCCCACCAAGAGAGGTGTGTCCACTGTTGATTCTCTCAAGGACACAGCCTGCAATAGGTAGTGCTTGTATGTGGTAAACCAGTTGCTAATGTACCTGGTTTTGTCTAATAGACAAATCCTGTGGATTGAAAAACTGATTTGAGCAACTCACTCATAAAGCTTAACACTGTGACTTGTACTATATCTCGGCTTTGATAGAAGCCAAGAAACAACATCGATTGAAGTATACTTGCCAAAAGTAAACGACTGGAAGATGGATAATTTATTTCATTTTCTGTGATTGTTAGTGATCTTGTATTTCTAGTTGAATACGATGAGCATGGCCA